GATCATTGTGGGTTCCTCAGACGGTGGCAGGAGTGCACAAACTGAGCTGCTAACACACAGCAGCACACACACTCCCCCAGGAGGATGGGCAGTTTCTCATTGTTCGGCAGGGACTCAAAGTTTTTGTGTGTGTGTGTGAGTTTCGGGTAGAACTTCTCCCGGATCTCTGAGTATTTTGTGCACTCCGTAAGGAAGTGCAGTTCTGTTTCAATCGGCTGCTGAGGGCAGTGTGGGCACAGCCGCTCCTCCACCGGCAGCCATGTTTGTCTGTGCCGGCCCGTCTCTATAGCCAGCTGGTGTCCGCTGAGTCTGTATCTGCTCAGGGTGGTCCTCAGACCTTTATCTGTCACTGTGTGGAGATAGTCTGCCAGAGTATATTGTCTCTTCAGGGCCAGATAACACTGCATTTTGCTTTGCAGTTGTGTTTGAGTGTCCCAGTGGTGTGTGTAGCTGTTCTTGATCTGGTGTGTGATCTGAGTCAGTGGCAGGAGTGTGTTCAGCTCCTCAGGAGACGTCTCAGAGACCCTGAAGCTCTGGGCCAGCTGGGAGAGTGGGTCTGCTCTTCTGCTCAGTTCTCTGTCCTGCAGGGCTTTATAGTGGTATGAGTCCGGGTCGCTGAGTTTTAAGTGCTTCCAGAATTTGACAGCTCTTTTCTGTATCTTTATTATCAGAGGGTATTTGCCTAATTCTGCTCTGCATCCGTTGTTTGTTGTGTGCCGGTGGACGTGTAGGATGTTCTTACACAGCTCTGTGTGCAGGGTTTCTATAGGGTGTTTGTCCCATTTGGCCAGATCTTGTTTAGGGTTTGTCAGTGGACCCCACACCTCACTGCCGTAGAGGGCGATGGGCTCGATGACGGACTCTAGGATCTTCAGCCAGATCTGAACAGGGATGTCTATGGGACATTGACGCTTGATGGCGTAGAAGGCTCTGCGGGCTTTATCTCTCAGCTCATTCACTGCAGGATTAAAGTTTCCAGTGGAGGTGATGTTCAGGCCTAAATAATTATACTGTGTTGTGTGTGTTATCTGATTGGTACCTAGTGTGAATGTGTGTTGTGTTCCCTGGGCTCTGGCTCTTTTTTGGAAGGTGATGATTTTGGTTTTGTTTAGGTTGACGGTCAGGGCCCAGGTCTGGCAGTACTGGTCCAGCAGCTGCAGGTTCTGCTGAAGGCCCTGTTCGGTTGGCGATAGTAGCAGCAGGTCGTCTGCGTACAGCAGGCATTTGATCTGAGAGTCGTGGAGATCGAGACCCGGAGCGGTGGATCGCTCCAGACTGAGCGCCAGCTCGTTTATGTAGATGTTGAATAGTGTTGGGCTCAGGCAGCAGCCTTGTCTCACTCCACGCTCCTGGGAAAGATATTTTGTTCTTTTTGTGATAATTTTGATGCCACATTTGCTTTCGGTGTACATTGATTTAATAAGGTCATATGTTTTTCCTCCTATGCCACTTTCAATCAGCTTATAAAGTAAGCCTTGGTGCCAAATTGAGTCGAAAGCTTTTTTAAAGTCAATGAAGCATGCGTATATTTTACCTTTATTTTGGACAGTGTGTTTTTCAATTAGCGAGTGCAGTGTGTAAATGTGGTCAGATGTGCGGTATTTTGGTAAAAATCCAATTTGACTTCTGCTTAAGACATTATGTGTCGTGATGAAGTCCAGTAGTCGAGCATTTATTAAACTACAGAATAACTTTCCCAGGTTGCTGCTCACACAAATCCCTCTGTAATTATTGGGGTCAAATTTATCTCCATTTTTAAAGATGGGTGTTATCAGTCCTTGATTCCATATATCAGGGAAGTGACCAACGCTCAGAACTAGATTAAATAATTTTAGGATGGCTGATTGAAATTTAGGGCTGGTTTGTTTTATCATTTCGTTTAATATTCCGTCAGGTCCAGATGCTTTTTTAGGTTTAGCAGATTTAATTTTGTCTTTAAGCTCCATTATAGTGATGGGGAAGTCTATTGGGTTTTGATTGTCCTTGATAGTCGATTCTAGTGTTGCCAGTGTTTTTGTTATTTGACTTTGTTTAGGATTTGTGTCTGTTTCTACTTTATTGAATAGTGTTTGGAAATGGGTCTCCCATATTTCTGAATTTTGGATCGGTAGCTCTTCATGATCGTTTTTGATCAAGTTTTTCCAGTTGTCCCAGAATTGATTTGAGTTAATGGAGTTCTCTATTGTTGTCAGTTGTTTTTGGGTGTATTGTGCCTTTTTGGCTCTGAGTGTTTGTTTGTATTGTTTTAGTGTTTCACAATAGAGAAGCCGAATCTCTGCATTATTTGGGTCTCTGTGTTTCTGATTTGACAGGTTTCTGAGGTGTTTCCTAATTGACAGGCATTCTTGATCGAACCAGTTTTTGTCATTTTTGGGTAGATTATTTTGTTTGGTTTTAACTTTTAATTTTGCCTGTTTAGCTGTACTTTCGAATATATTGTTTATGTCTTTTACCGCCATATTAACTCCTTGTTTGGTGTGGGCATATGCGTTAACCAGGAAGTTATCTAGGATTTGTTGAGTTTTTGGGCTGTTTACTGCATTTTGGTAGTCTTCTGCACTGTTCTCAGCCCATCTGTATGGCTTTCTGATGTTAAATAGTTTATTGGGCTGTGTGCAAGGGTTTGTTATTGTCTTTTTGAGGTATAAAGTAATTTGGCTATGGTCAGAAAGTGGGGTGAGTTCTCTAACAGTGAATGCTCTGAGAGATGAAGGGTCTATATCTGTTATCATATAGTCTACTGTGCTATTGCCAAGAGGTGAGCAGAATGTGAATCTCCCGAGTCTGTCCCCTCTTATCCGACCGTTGACAATGTACAGTCCCAGACTCCTGCAGATCTGCAAGAGCTCTTTTCCACTTTTGTTGACTATATGATCGTGGTTGTTTCTGTGAAGGTGGGAGAAGCTGGTCTGTATACCTGGTAGGTTGCTGTTGATGTATTTGCTTCCCTGTGCGTTGGTGAAGTCCGGCTGTTGTCCTGTTCTGGCGTTCATGTCTCCACAGATGAGCACGTGTCCTTGGGCCTGGAAGTGGCTCGTCTCTTTCTCCAAAGTGTCAAACATGTCTTCACTGTAGTAGGGGGATTCTGATGGTGGGATGTATATGGCACATAAGAAACAGTCTTTTTGGGACGACAGTAGATCCTTGTGGATTTTGAGCCATGCGTGATATTTTCCGGTTTTAACTGTGTCGATGTATTTGTGGAGTTTTGAGTTGTACCAGATGATTTGTCCTCCTGAATCTCTCCCTTGTCGAGTTGTGTTGAGTTTCTGTGAGGGAAGAATAATTTCCCTGTAGTTGGGTGGGCAATGTGTGGTAGTGTTTGTCTTGCTCCATGTCTCCTGGAGAATAATAATGTCTTTATTTTTTATGTTTGCGTGGAATTCTGTGTTTAAGCTTTTTAGTCCAAAGGCTGATGATTTCAGGCCTTGTATATTCCACAATGATATTGACAGGGTCATTTAGAGATAAGTAAAGTTCTTGTTTTTTAATTTTGAGATAAACCTTTACTAATATATTAGTTATATATATACATGGTGGTTGTATATTGTAAATTGGGGGGCTGTTCACGTCAGCTGGGCGCTGATGTATTGTAGCAGCTGTTTGATTTCACCCATCTCCAGAGGTTTCGCCGGTCCTTTGAGAGCCTGGGCGTAGTTTCTGGGTTGTGGCAGCAGTGCTGGTCTGGGTGTGCTGTCAGCAGCGGTTGTGCTGGTTGTTGGATGCTGTGGACTCCTCCTGCTGTTGTTCACTTGTCTTGGATTGAGTCTGTTTGATGGAGTAGGTCTTTGGTGATGACCAGCTGTAGGTGTTTCTCTTTGGGGGGGTCCTGGCATGGTCTGGGTTTTTTGGCTGTGTCCAGAGCTGGGCCGCGGTCTCTGCTGTTGTGCTTGTGTAGGCTGAAAGTGTCTCGTGTGAGGTGGGGGTCCCCAGTGATGTCCAGGTGGAGGTTGTTTCATGTTTTCCATGTGGTAAGGTGGTGAGAGTCTGTTTGTTGTGTGAGCTGATGTCTGTCTGCCCCATGCTGTGTCTTTCAGTGCTTTTGCGAACACATTGACTTTGTCCTTTTTTATGTGTACGTGATCATAGAGGTCTCTTACTGTGATGCTGGTGTGATGAGTCAGGTGCACGCTGGGCAGTAGAGCACATCCTCTGGAGATGTCAGCGTTGACTCTGTTGATGGTGTCGGGGTGGATGTCTCTGCGAGGCAGGAGGGTGGAGATGGTGATTTTTGCATTGGGGCAGGTCTCTGCAGCTTTCTCTGCTACTCTGCAGACTAGCTGCCCGACTCTTTCCTGCTGGGCTCTCAGGTCATTGGTGCCCGTGTGAATGATGATGTGTGAGGGTGTGCCAAAACTGGGTGCAGACAATATTCTGAGGGCATCACTTGTTTTTGGGCACCAGAGTTTTGAAGTTTTATGGCCAGGGAATAGCTTTTTCTCTTGCAAGAATTTCCCATTGGAGTCCATAAGGATGGCGATTTCAATCTGCGTGCTTTGTGGTTGTGGGCTCTCCTTTGGTGTGGAAGGGGTGTTTGTTGAAGGCTTCTGGTGTTCCACACCTGTGTTGCTGGCAGTTTTAGGTGTGTCTGCCTCTCTCTGAGTGTTGTTTGGTGGTGGGGGCTCTGTGGGCCGCTGTGGAGGTCTGGCTTTGGTGAGGGGCAGTGGGTGCTTGATGGTTTGATTGTTCAAAGGAGCAGAGAGAGACTTTAATTCTGTCCTCAGTGTCTCAATCTGTGTGTCCCTCTGTTGTAGCTCAACTTTAAACCCTGTAAGCTCTCTTGTGAGATGGTCTTTCATTTCTGATAGTGCTTTCCCCATGGTGTGTTTTAAGTCTGTCAAGTCTTTTTGGAGATTGTCTCTGTCTTGAGACAGTGTGGAAATGTCTCCCTTTAATTCTTGAATGGAAACTTTTAGTGCATTTCTTATTTGGCAGAGCTGGTCTCTGAGTTGCTCTGTGTCTTCAGTGCTGAGAGTTTTGCTCTGGACATGTTCACTGATTTCAATTATTTCCACTTCCAGTAGTGCCAGGCTGTGTTGCAGTTGGGCAACTGTGTTGTGGAGGTCTGGGCTTGCTGGAAGAGAGTTGCTCTTTTTCTCCTCTGAGTTTGTCTTTTCCTCTGTATTGGGGTGGGGAGAAGTCTCCATGTGTTCCAGTGTAGCAGGGGTTGGGGTGGGCATACAAATGTTTGCAATTTCAGTGTTCACCTTTACCTTTAAGGAGTGGAAAGTCTTCTCAAACTGTGTGAGGATAGCATTATTTCCCTGTACCATTATAGTTTCATTCTGATAGAGGTTGATTGTTAGTTGCCGATTCTCTGGGTTCTTTGTTGAGTCTTCATATATGCATATTTGTCTGCCTTTACAAATTCCATTTTTTGTGAAGTGTTGGAAATGTGTACAGAACGCTGTGTGCCAGACAGTTGGATGTTCTGTGTAAAACAGCAAGTTGGTGGTGATTGTTTTGCCTTTGAGGTTTGATGTGTCTTTAAACAGAGTTTCAGGATTTTCTTTCTGCTGTTTAAGTTTATACTGTTGTCTGCTCTTTTCAGACTGGATGTCTGGGGGGTAGTCAAAGGTGTGAGCTCCATCCCCCATTGCAGCCATTGCCATTATGCTGTAGTTCACACTTCTTTGATATTCAGGACAATGGCTTAGCTAGCCGGGCTTGTGGTGTGAAGGCAAACTGTCCTCTACAGTATGACTTTAAATCAAATGTGGACTGCTAGTTAGTAAGATTTTTTCTTGTTTTTCTTGCTTTAGTCTCTCTCCTTTTTAAACTCCTTTGAGTAGGTAAGGGTTTGTATGTGCTTACCTTTACCAGAGGTTGAGTTGAAGGCCTTTGCTGGTTTGATCTTTTGTTACTGCTTTTTTCTGTTGTCCTTTCGGGTTAGATTGTTTTCCAGATGAAAATTCTTGTATTCCAGTGATTACTTAAAGGTATAGTCCTTGATCTCTAGAAAGTAAATCCTTATTCCAAGTTTTTATGCTGTTGTTTTATCCTTCTGTCGTCCTGTGGTACGGTTCAGATCTTGTGGGGGAAGTCCTTCAGCTTGTTTTCCACCGGTTTTCCTTTGTTTTCCAATGTATTTTGCTAAATTTCTTATCTATTTCTTATTTATTTACAGTGAACTTGTGTTCACCATGTTTGTTGTTAATTTTGAGCTATTTTCTTAGGTTTATCTCTTTTTAAAAACAAAAGAACTTTAGGAAGTTCAGGAGCTCATGTTGTGCATGACCTCTCTCTCTGACTCTCTCTCTCTCTCTCTCTCTCTCTCTGCAGTATTGTATGAACACAATATGTAGCCTATTCCTCTTTCTGCTTCTACTTTGGACAAGAGAAGAACGTATCTGCTTAAACTGACTGTTTTGCGTTTTTAATTGATTTAATTTATGCACATCGGTTGCAGTGTGCAAGGTACGTTTACGTGTAAAATTTTACACATATGAACATGAAAAAAACGCTTAAATTATGCATAATTAAAGACTTAATTATGCAAAGACCTTTACTCTTGTCAGGTCATTTCAATTAGTCTATTTTATTTATTTGTGCAAAACTCCCAAAAATCTAACAAATACTTCATAAAATTAATTAAATATTAAATATTTTACAATTTATTTAAATAAAACAAATAAAAGCAAGATATTAGATCTTAATTAGATCATTACTGCTATTTTGTCCTACTTGTAGGCGTAGTAGTAGTAGTAGTGGTAGTAGTAGTGGTAGTAGTAGTTATAAGTTTATTAACATTAATTAATTCAAAAGATGTGTGTTCTTGCTAAAACTGTCTCTTCATCTTCTTCGACAGGTTCAGGTGCAGCGCAGACCATGGATTTATTTCAATGGCGAGTCTCAGCAGATCGGGGGCTTTGTCAAGGAATTTACCAACCTGGCTTTCATCACAGTAAAGGTAAAAACGCAACAAAACCCTTCACGATTTACACTTTCTCTCTGAAACTAAATTCAATTCATGCTAAAATCAATGCATGCACGATTCTGTTTCAAACACCTACTCCACTCCTTTTCTAGACAGCATTTTAGGCATCATAATCTCCTATTTTATTTTTTTAATTATATAAAATTTTGTCTAACTATAAGCACTAAAACCACAATAAAACTGATTTTGCACTTTCCCCCCTTTTTTTGGTACAATAATGAAAAACTAAATAATTAAAAATCAATGCATGCACAATTCTGTTCCAAACACCTAAACGGCTCCCTTCCTAGACAGCATTTTAGGCATCATAGTCTTCTTCTTTTTTTTGCCCTTATTAAACCCTTTATTTAATAATTTCTCTCTGATTTTTGATACAAGTGTCAAAAATGAAATAAAATCAATGCTTTCATGATTCTGTTCCAAATACCTACTCTGCTCCCTTCCTAGACACTATTTTAGACATCTTTTTTTTTTCTAACTATATGAACTAAAGCCCACAATAAAACTCTTCACTTTACACTTTCTCTTTGATTTAAGTTTTTTTCTGTTTGTTTGTTTTGATTTAAAATAAAAAATAATGGATGCATGATTCTGTTCTAGTCTGTTTTAGTCTTTAGTTCTGTTTTAGTCTTTTTATTTTTTAATCATAAACTATTTTTTTTCTAACTATATTCAATAAAACGCACAACAAACTCTTAATTTTATATTTTCTCTCTAATTTTTGATACAAAAAAAAAAAAATTAATGCATGCATGATTCGGTTCCAAACGCCTACTCCACTCCCTACACCATTTTAGGCACCATAGTATCTCCTTTTTAATTTTTTTTAATTGTAAAGTATACTTTTCTAACTATATGCACTAAACGCATAATAAAACTCTTTATTTTACACTTTCTCTCTGATGTTTTTGATACAAAAGTGAAAAACAAAATAATATTAAATAAATGCATGCACAAGTCTGTTCCAAACACCTACTCCACTCCCTATCTACCTCGACCCTATTTTATGCATCTTTTAAATTATAAACAAAATTGTCTAACTTTATGCACTAAAACCCTGATACAGGAATGGAAAAAAATCTAATAAAAATCAATGCATGCATGATTCTGTTTTAAACACCTACTCCACTCCCTATCTAGATACTATACTACGCATCTTTTAAATTATAAACAAAATTGTCGAATTTTATGCACTAAAACGCACACTAAAACTCTTCATTTTACACTTTCTCTCTCAGATTTTTGATACAAGAATGAAAAACTAAATAATTAAATATCAATGCATGCACAAGTCTGTTCCAAACACCTACTCCACTCCCTAACTAGACAGCATTTTAGGCATCAAAGTCTCCTTTTTTATTTTTTAAATTCTATGTTTTTTTTTTCTAACTATATGCACTAAAACCCACAATAAAACCTCTAATTGTACACTCTCTCTCTCTCTCTCTGATTTTTGCATGCAAGCATGAAAAACTAAATAAAAAATCAATGCATGCACGATTCTGTTCCAAACACCCACTCCACTCCCTACCTACACAGTATTTTAGACATCATCATAGTCTTTTATTATTATTATTATTATTATTAAATCATGAACAATTTTTCCTAACTACATGCACTCTGTTCTCCTCAGGGTTCTGGTCACATGGTTCCCACCGATAAACCAATAGCAGCGTTCACAATGTTCAGCCGCTTCATCACCAAACAGCCTTACTAGAAAATACATGCACACTCACTCAGGCCTTCTACTGTGCTTTTTAAATCTGAATTTGCACTGTCACACGGGTAAAATGATTGAAATGTGGACCACTGACTGTTCCTCTCACCATTTAAAAGCGATCACACCTTCTGTTGGAGTTTTAAGTGCTTTAGTCTTGTGAACTAAATGAACCTGCTGTACATGCAGTAATGAGCGATTCACCGCCTGTACGCCACTGCTTCCAATCAAATGTGATTTAAAGACAAAGATGCGGAGTGTTTGAGTTTAAAGTCAATCCGATGACTATTTTGAGCGATGGATGATGCACATATTGCACAATTTTAGCTTCAATATTAAAGCATAAAGAGTAGCCTTTTTTAAAAGTCATTGCACAGATTATTTTTGTCGTGTTTCTATTAATGCCACACTGTGATGCTCAGTTTAAAACTATTCCTGCAACCTGCGGTACGTTTTTGTGTGCTTTTATAAGGGAATAACATCTGTGGCTTTCTTTCTTTTTTTTTCTCCCAATGTTCGTTTTAATTAAAGACCACTTTTCTATGATTTCTTTTTGTGATCCTTTTATTATGGAAAATGGTGCATTCAATAACTTCAACGATGAACTTATCGAACATTCTGATTTTAACACTTTGCTTTTATAACACAAGGAACTGCGATTTCAATCACAAACTAATCTCCTGTTAAACATCAATATAAAATATAACTTGTACAAAAAAAATCCTAATTCACAACCTAAAGTACAAATGAATAGTGTTCTCCAACTAAGCACAGAGTATAACAGTATAACGTGTGTGTGTTTAACACCTGTCCAGTCAACATAAACTTTTCGGTCCCACTTTATATTAAGTGGCCTTAACTAATATGTACTTACACAGGAGTTAATAGTTTGTTATAATGTACTTATTGTGTAAATACATGTATTTACTGTGTACTTATGCTTGATTAAATACATGTATGTAATTACATCTGTAATTAACTTTTGTAAATGCATTTGTAAATACACTGTTGACCATCCCTTACACCTTAACCCACCCTTAAACCTACCCATACCACCAAACCTGTCCATAACCCAACCTCTATCCCTACTCAAAAGCACCACAAGTGTTCTCAAATACATTATAAACACAGTAAGTACATTGTATTTATTTTTTTGATGTAAGTACATAGTAGTTAATTACACTTAATATAAGGTGTCACCAATTTTTCCAACTCGTTTTTCTTGTGAAAGTGTGTAAATGTTTGGAGGAGAGCCTGATTTCAATGCATGAATCGGTCAGATGCTGTAAAGTGTCTGTTTGGATCCTCCTGAACATCTCATTGGTAATGCTGCTTTATCTAAATACTGCTTGTACTGGGAAATGCTTTGTGCAACAGTTATTTACACTAAGTATAAATGCGTCATGAGGTATTTACAGAAAGCAAATAACGGTAAATGCTGTTTGCACAAAGTGTAAATATAAGTAGTGTAGTATTTGGCTTAAAGGGAAAATATCAAAGCAGTCGAGGGTAGAGTTTGTGAAGAGGCTTTTGACCCATGATTGAGTGCATTTTAAAACAAATGGCAAAGACACGAAATCTTATTTAGCTGTCTTCACAACTAGGTTATTTTACAGTGTAGATATCTATAAATAAATATCTATTATTTAACAGTTTCTGCATTTTGTGATTGCTTTTATTATTTCTGCTTTTGAATTGCATTATGGGATGTTTCTTACAACGTTTAACCTTTTGCATTTTTAAAAAAAAAGTGACTTATTTTAATTTTTAATAGTTTAAAGTGATCTATTGTCTGTTTTGTTGTTATATATTACGCAACAAAAACCTTGTAATAAACCGCCAGTCCCTTTTTTTTGTTGTTATTTTACAGACTTATTTCTCTATATATTATTTCAAACTTTTAAATCTCAATAAAAGTCACTTTGTTAAGCTGAAGAGTTTAATTTTCAGCATCAAAAATCAACAGAGCAGAGATCAACATTGTGTGGGAATGAGTGTTTCCCAGAGCTGGGTTGCAGCTGGAAGAGCATCCACTGTGTAAAACATATGCTGGAATAGTTGTCGGTTCAATCCGCTGTGGCGACCCCTGATAAATAAGGGACTAAGCTGAAGGAAAATAAATGTTCTAATGTACTAGAATAGTGTGTACTCAATTTATGGGTCAATATGAGGCTTTAAAGCAGGGGTCACCAATCCTGGTCCTGGAGGGCCAGTGACCCTGCAGTGTTTAGCTCTAACTTTCCTCAACACACCTGCCTGGGTGTTTCAAGTATAGACCTTTTTCTTGGAACGCAAAATTACCCATTATGCTTTGCGTGTATGCGCAAGGAGAATGCGAAGAACTTCCGGTCGGCAGCTGATGCATGTAAACAGTCACATTTGGACAGCTTTGAAACGATCTATTTTACCTGCTTTTATCCTCTTTGAACTAACACTGTTGTCCATCAGCACCATCTCCTGGACTGATCATTTAAAGAAATGCGATCTAATAGGATGGAAAACAGCTGCTGTGAGGCGTTTTCCCCTCGTTGTCAGACGGCATCTTCTGCAGTTTAAATGAAGCCTCGTCATCGCTAAAGTCAACATTTTCTCTTTATTTCACATATATAACCAGCCCAAACAAATGTAATTCACCAAAATGTTTGACACACACACGTAGCCTGTACTGTGCCACTGATACACTGATTTAATAACGGTGACAGTGAAAATATAGGCTAGTGTCATTTCGAAATGACAGAAAAACACAAACCGTGGTGAATACAACACACAAAATAAAACACAAACGGCTCGTGATTAGAATGAACAGCAAATCAGCCAGCAAAGGATCAATAACAGACTTTTATTGGACATTTTTGTAAATTGCACGACTTTCATACCTGCCCTGCTGAAAAATCCAGCTTAAACCAGCCTAGGCTGGTTGGCTGGTTTTATCTGGTCAACCAGGCTGGTTTTAGAGGGGTTTTGGCCACTTCCAGGCTGGTTTCCAGCCATTTCCAGCCTGGTCTTAGCTGGTCAGGCTGGGAGATGACCAGCTAAAATCAGCTTGACCAGCCTAGCCAGGCTGAGAGCCCAGCCAAAACCAGCTATGTCCAGCTTAAACCAGGCTGGTCAAGCTGGTTTTAGCTGGATTAAGCTGGTCATTTTTCAGCCTGACCAGCTAAGACCAGGCTGTAAATGGCTGAAAACCAGCCTGGAAATGGCCAACACCCCTCTAAAACCAGGCTGGTCAACCAACTAAAACCAGCCAACCAGCCTAGGCTGGTTTAAGCTGGATTTTTTAGCAGGGTGTTAAGTCTCATGCCAGTACTCTGATTCTCTCTCTCTCTCTCTCTCTCTCTTTCTCTCTCTTTCTCTCTCTCTGTGTGTGTGTGTGTGTGTGTGTGTGTGTGTGTGTGTGTGTGTGTGTGTGTGTGTGTGTGTGTGTGTGTGTGTGTGTGTGTGTGTGTGTGTGTGTGTGTGTGTGTGTGTGTGTGGTGTGTGTGTGTGTGTGTGTGTGTGTGGTGTGTGTGGTGTGTGTGGTGTGTGTGGTGTGTGTGTGGTGTGTGTGTGGTGTGTGTGTGTGTGGTGTGTGTGTGTGTTAAAGAGCCGCTGAGCTAACAGCTGACAGGCCGGGAACGCATACACACACGATTTCTGACGGCAGACACGTGAACTAGGGAACGTTTTTCTCGTATTTCTGACGCGCTTGAACCCCATGTGACAGATTATAACGGCTTTAACAGACACATTTCTAAGTTGTGTGTCACAAAACACTCTGTTATCCATTAAAAACGGTATTGAAACCCATTTTCGGAGCGCAAATTACCAGTTGTACACGCTGTAAACGGAAGTTTTTTGCATTCTACCGGAAGACGCTGGTCGCTATGGCGCCCTCCATGCAGCAGCCATGAAAAAGGTCTATACCTAAGACCTTGATTTAGCTGGTTCAGGTGTGTTTGATTAGGGTTGGAGCTAAAATCTGCAGGACACCAGCCCTCCAGGAACAAGTTTGATGACCCCTGCTTTAAAGCATTGAATTATCACCACTAATATTGAACATATTACCATTGAATTATTTTATTACCTATTCAGAAATGTTACATAAGGCAGCGCTGCTTATCAGCATTAAAGCAAATTCGAGCATTATCAATCAGTTTTTCTGCCCTAAGTGTGTATTCTATTCGGAGAGTAAAGGTGGTGAATGTGGAGTTGATGTTGACTGTGGTGACAGCAGGTTTTGAGGATCAGTTAAACGTCATGCTGGAAGGTTAGTTTTCTTCTCGCAAATCCCTCATTATTGCTGTAGTGTCTGTGCAGGACACGCGCGCATCAACATCTTCACCGCGCTTAAATGGAGTTGTCGGATTCTCCCACCAGCTTCCCCTCGATCATTTCTCTCAGACCCGTCTGGAAGTGTAAATTCGCCCCCACGATGATGTAGCCCTGTTGAATCACAGACAGAGAACTGCTATCAAGGCACAAAAACTAAATGATAAATCACCATGCACTCACTGGCCACTTTATTAGGTACACCTTACTAGTACCGAGTTGGACCCGCTTTTGTCTTCAAGAACTTTTGGTCCATTTTGAGATGATAGGGTCACGCAGTTTCTTCAGATTTGTCGGCTGCACATCCATCCTGTGAATCTCCCGTTCCACCACATCCTAAAGGTGCTCTATTGGATTGAGATCTGGTGACTGTGGAGGCCATTTGAGTACAGTGAACTCATTGTCATGTTCAAGAAACCAGTCTGAGATGATTCACGCTTTGACATGGTGCGTTATCCTGCTGGAAGTAGCCATCAGAAGATGAGTACACTGTGGTCATAAAGGGACATGGTCAGCAACAATACTCAGGTTGGCTGTGGTGTTGACACGATGCTCAGTTGGAACTAATGGACCCAAAGTGTGCCAAGAAAACACCATTACACCACCAGCCTGAACCATTGATACAAGGCAGGATATATCCATGCTTTCATGTTGTTGACGCCAGATTCTGATGCAACCATCCGAATGTCTCAGCAGAAATGGAGACTCATCAGGGCAGGCAACATTTCTCCAATCTTCTATTGTCCAGTTTTGGTGAGCCTGTGTGAATTGAAGCCTCAGTTTCCTGTTTTTAGATGACAGGAGTGGCACTCGGTGTGGTTTTTTGCTGCTGTAGCCCATCTGCCTCAAGGTTGGACGTGTTGTGTGTTCAGAGATGCTCTTCTGCAGACCTAGCGAGTGCTTGTTTGAGTTGTTGCCTTTCTATCAGCTGGAACCAGTCTGGCCATTCTCCTCAGACCTCTGGCACCATCAAGGCATTTGTGTCCACAGAACTGCCGCTCACTGGATATTTTCTCTTTTTCAGACCATTCTCTGTAAACCCTAGAGATGGTTGTGCGTGAAAATCTCAGTAGATTAGTAGTTTCTGAAATACTCAGACCAGCCCGTCTGGCTCCAACAACCATGCCACCTTTAAAGTCATCTAAATCAACTGTCTTCCCCATTCTGATGCTCGGTTTGAACTGCAGCAGATCATCCCGACCATGGCTACATACCTAAATGCATTGAGTTACTGCCATGTGATTGGCTGATTAGAAGTTTTTGTTAACGAGCAGTTGGACGGGTGTTCCTAATAAAGTGGCCACAAAGTGTAATTTCACAGTTCATTGATTACAAATAACTTAAATTGAACCTGTAATACAATTCTTATTGTAGTGCACTCTTCTCTGTGTGCTAAAGTAGCTGTTTTTTGCATTACAATTGAGAAATGCTGGGATATGTATAACTACACTGTAAAAATATCTGTTAATTAAGAGTTTTCCAATTTTGTGTTTGTTTACGGTTGTGAATTGCGTTATGGGATGTTGATCTCTGCACTGTTGACTTTTGATGTTGAAAGTTCAACTCTACAGTTTGATAAAGTGACTTGTATTGACATTTTAGTAGTTTGGAATAATTTAGAGAGAAATAAGTCTGTAAAATAGCAGAAAATGTACTGTTGGTTTATTACGAAGGTTTTTGTAGCGTAATCTAGAACACCAACACAGACAATAGATCACTCTAAACCAGTGGCGCAAAAAGGGGGTATGCAGTATATGCAGTGCATAGGGGCGCCACACATGGGGGGGGGGCGCCATTGTGCCAAAACTATTTTTGAAATTATCCATATTAAAAGTTTCAAATAATGTATATATTTTTTTGTTAAAAAAATGTATTTAGCATTTTATACGAGTATAATATTGTATTTTATTAAATTAAAAAATCATTTCACCCCTCCCCCATTTTTATACCACATGTTATTATGAATTTATTATGTATCATATTGATTCATCAGGCCTTTTGGTAACTTCTTAGCTCAAAACTATTTTAATTTTAGCTACAAACAAAGTTATAACATTTCAATTAAATAGAACATTTCACACTGTTTGTTTCTGTTTTTTTACACTAAACATTTGACAGTCTTTTTTATTTCACTTTTAGCAGTTTCAGTCAATTGTTCTTGCAAAGACAGACCTTCTGCCTCAGTCTGAATGTGAGAAGTAATTGCAATGTTCTTTTGCCCTTTAGGACTCCCATGTCTATCATTTTGTTTTGACAAATGTACTACAAAAAGTCCAAAAGCAAGGCTAGTCAAGGTGCTATAATCATTTAGTAAGTGAAAATTAAATTAAGAAGAAATTTGGGGTGGTATGAGATGCATTTCTTTGTGACTCAACATGCTTAATGTAATTATACCTTTTACTATACTTCAAACTATTACAGTTGTGTTCAGAACTGCGAAACTGTTTTTTTTTAAGCATATTGATATCTTTATGAAAAAATATCTTTAATTTATTGATGGAAATATTTTCCACATTTTATCACTTGCCTGTTATAAAATATAGTTGGATTGAAGGGAGGCGCGCAAAAGTTGAAGCCGCATACCCATCAGTACATGTGAAGTTGCGCCCCTGCTCTAAACCAGCGGTTCTCAAACTTTTTTCATCAAGTATTACCTCAGAAAAGAATCGCCTCTCCAAGTACCACCATAGTGAACATTATTGAAATACAGTATAGCGTAGTAGGACTAATTAAGCAGCCACAGCACAGTTCAAAAACCAGGCAGATTAATTCCTATTATTAAGAACATTTATTATTGTAAGCCACTTTAAACATTATAGTTTGAACAATAACACTGTACTGTGCTTATATGTATAAAACAAACAAAATGTCAACGTTTTAATTAAAATATGCTTTTAAAAGTTTAATTAAAATGGTAGACTACTGTTCTTAAAAAGTAAAAAAAAAAAGACTAAAACTTCTGGACTTAAATGTAAAGTATTAACATATAGTAGCCTATTCATCAAAACCTGGAAATGTTGCTAGAACCTTATAAATATAGCCATCATATTCATATACAAATTATTATACATTTTAAATATATTTTGCATGTAAATATATGACATATTCCTCCGTACCACAGTTTGAGAACCACAGCTCTAAACTATTAAAAATTTTAATAAAAGTCACTTTTTCTAACTTTAAGGTTACAAGTTGTAGGAACAAAGATCAAGATCACATAATGCAAGTCAAAAGCAAAAATAAAAACATGAAATAAAAGACATGGAAAACTGCAAATGTATGATATAATTTGTTTATTTTTACAGGTGATATCTGCTTTATTTATATTTATTATTGTTTTAAAATGTTGTTTAAATACACAAATTAGACCTTTAATTATATATGCACTTTTATATTTGCCATGTCTATTAAAAACAACAACAACAACTAAAAAACCTTACATTAAAGATGTCAAGAGTTTGAGCAGCCACTTACATTGTGATACTCCACGACCTCTTCGATGAAGTCTATCCCGTCTGGTAAAGGGATCTGCACCCCTCGCTTGGTGTAATCTTACAAAAAACGCATGAAAATCCTGTTTAGGTGCACCTCATTTAAAGTCTATATGCACAACAAATCAGCATGCTGGAATGAAAAGTGCAGTAATGATGCTGGAAGTTCAACTTGGCATCACACAAGTAAAACCCATTTTAAATATACATTTAAATTGAAGAGTCGCTGTTATTTTGATTATGATATTTCATAATATTTCTGTCTTTTAACCGTATATTGAGCATATAAATGCAGTCCTGCTGTGCATATATAAGAGACTTCTTGAAAAAAACATTAAAACCACACACATTTTGAAATGGTATTATGTATCTCATTTACTACAGGTCTGCTTTACATTTTTTACAGTCAAATATAAGGCCTTGATGAAAAAAGTAATACTCTTTATAGTGTGTGCAATACTGAACATAGATATCTATATTTTTTCTAAACACATTGTTATTATTAGGGCATCACGGTGGCGCAGTGGGTAGCACGATCGCCTCACCGCAAGCAGGTCGCTGGTTCGAACCCTGGCTGTGTCAGTTGGCATTTCTGTGTGGAGTTTGCATGTTCTCCCCGTGTTGGCGTGGGTTTCCTCCGGGTGCTCCGGTTTCCCCCACAAGTCCACACACGTGCTATAGGTGAATTGAAGAAACTAAATTGGCCGTAGTTTATAGGTCACTCTAAAAACGTTGAGTTATTTATTTAATCCAGTAGTTGAGTTAAAAATATTTGGTGCTTTGTTGGGTTAATTTTAACCTTTATTTGGTAATTTATTAATAACTCAACCAGTTGGGTTAAATATTTGGTGCTTTGTTGGGTTATTTTTAACCTTTATTATGTTATTTATTAATAACTCAACCAGTTGGGTTAAATATTTGGTGCTTTGTTGGGTTATTTTTATCGTTATTTGGTCATTTATTAATAACTCAACCAGTTGGGTTAAATATTTGGTGCTTTGTTGAGTTATTTTTAACTTTTATTATGTTATTTATAATAACTCAACCAGTTGGGTTAAATATTTGGTGCTTTGTTGGGTTATTTTTAACTTTTATTATGTTATTTATAATAACTCAACCAGTTGGGTTAAATATTTGGTGCTTTGTTGGGTTATTTTTTACCCTTTATTATGTTATTTATTAACTCAACCAGCTGGGTCAAATATTTGGTGCTTTGTTGGGTTAGTTTTAACCTTTATTATGTTATTTATAATAACTCAACCAGTTGGGTTAAATATTTGGTGCTTTGTTGGGTTATTTTTTACCCTTTATTATGTTATTTATTAACTCAACCAGCTGGGTCAAATATTTGGTGCTTTGTTGGGTTAGTTTTAACCTTTATTATGTTATTTATTAACTCAACCAGTTGGGTTAAATATTTGGTGCTTTGTTGGGTTATTTTTAACCTTTATTGGGTTATTTGTTTAATAACTCAACCAGTTGGGTTAAATATTTGGTGCTTTGTTGGGTTATTTTTAACCTTTATTGGGTTATTTGTTTAATAACTCAACCAGTTGGGTTAAATATTTGGTGCTTTGTTGGGTTATTTTTAACCTTTATTATGTTATTTATTAACTCAACCAGTTGGGTTAAATATTTGGTGCTTTGTTGGGTTATTTTTAACCTTTATTGGGTTATTTGTTTAATAACTCAACCAGTTGGGTTAAAATGTAGAATTTTCAACAGTCAGCTGATTTAACTGACACAGAACAGCTGTATTATTACGCGTGTGTAATGTTGTTTTTGCATTATGATTAAAATGATTCAAGTGCGTGCTTCATAGCCGATCTATATTAGCGGTTCATTTCGCTGTGGATTTAATAAAGAGACTAAGCTGAAAAGAAAATGAATGAATGAATGCAGCATTTATTTAAAAACCGTATAAATGAACTAAATATGCCCGAATATGCATTTATTTAAAAACCGTATAAATGAACTAAATATGCCCGAATGTAAAAGATAAAATATATAAACAACGGGTACTTTTAGTGCCTCTGCTATCAATTTAGTGTGTAATATCGTGATTACTATTAAAATAATTAATAGTAGTGTCAAAATACAGCATAACAGTAACAGCTCTGAACATTTTGGTTATGATTGTCCATTAACAATAATGAATTATTTTCTGAACTGTTGTATTGGCTAAAATAGTTATCACATGTGTAAACATGCATATAATGCCATTTATTTTGAATTGGTCACACTATGTTTACATGGACATCAGTAATTGAATTATTTGCCTTAATCTGACTAAGACAATAACATGATGAAGGTGTTTACATGACTTTCATGATCCTGTTTTACATGTTATAGCACAATTCGATTAATGCCATCACGTCACTGCATCTATATTTCCTCCAGAGTTTCATGTAAGGTGTTTCATCTTTAATTAGTCGACTTTAATTGCAGTTTGGCACTTTCACTGTCATTCAGGAACATTTCATGCATGCTCAGGTGACAAACAAGATATTGGATGCGAGTATAAACTGCTGGAAAAGTGTTGTTTTAATAGAGTTTGATTGCCGTGTTTCCATGTCTGTACCACACTTCAGTAAGGCCACTAAAATCAGCATGCTCCACATGTCTTAATCCCATTTCTGTTTAGTTTGATTATGACTTCAGTCGGATTAAATTAATCAACAATCGCTGTTTACATGGTCGACTCCTAATCAGAGTATTGTCTAAGTTTCAGATTATTGGTGTCCATGTAATCTTACTGACTGAAAGTCACAATATCATGTCAAATTTAAGACAGTAAATCTTTCTCAGACTTTTTGTGTCCTTACATTTTAAAAATCTAGTACTTTTAAAGACTTTATAGAGACCCACAGGAAGCCTGTGCTGACATGTCCTATCACTTACTGTTAATGAGAGGCACCACAGATATCTGCAGCATGGTCTTCAGGGGACCCTGCAGTGGAATAAGCTGATGGACAAATATTGATTACAGTCACATTGTTGCAGCACATTCATTCGTGATGTATACAGTATATATTATTTTGCAAGGCAAGACACTGCAGGTAAATAGGGTAAAATGATAACTAACACTTATCACCATTGATTGATTACAATAACTGCAAACATTCTTGTATTACAGTTTTTAATTGTCATGATTGCATTGATTAAATAAATATGGTTTTGTTTTATCACTTCATAATTCAGAAAATGCAGTAAAATCTACATTTACTTGTTCTTTGGTCAAATAAAACGTTTATAATCGGGCAAATGCTGTGTCATTGAACCATTTTGATATTAGAACTGCAGTTTTTCACCTTAAGTTTGCACGAATTCATTTATTGGCAAAATGACACTTACAGCTAAAGACTCCAGAGCAGACTGATTGGAGAAAATCTTAAACCTGAAAACAAATTCTCAGTTAAAAATCACATATTAAGTCGAGTCTACAAACTAAAATAAATGTTCAATACTCACCTTCTCAGATCTAAGTGGATGGCGAGGCGTTTGCCCTTCATTGACACTTTCGCGTTGAATTTACCTTCCTAAAAAACAAAATCAGTAGTGCATTTATATCATCCTCCATGATAAATCAAATCAGTGAATTGTGTATTATTGTTTTGTATATTATTCTATATAATGTGTATCTGCATTTTCAGGAGATAATAACTTATTGCAGTATTCTAGATATATATATATATACATATCACTGGCCACTTTATTAGGTACACCTGTCCAACTGCTAGTTAACACAAATTTATAATCAGCCAATCACTTGGCAGCAACTCATTGCATTTAGGCATGTGGACATGGTCGAGATGATCTGCTGCAGTTCAAACCGAGCATCAGAATGGGGAAGACAGTTGATTTAGATGACTTTGAAGGTGGCATGGTTGTTGGTGCCAGATGGGCTGATCTGAGTATTTCGGAAACTGCTGATCTACTGGGATTTTCACGCACAACCATCTCTAGGGTTTACAGAGAATGGTCTGATAAAGAGGAAGTATGCAGTGAGCGGCAGTTCTGTGGGCGCAAATGTCTTGTTGATGCCAGAGGTCAGAGGAGAATGGCCAGACTGGTTCTAGCTAATAGAAAGACAACAGTAACTCAAATAAGCACTCGTTACAACCGAGGTCTGCAGAAGAGCATCTCTGAACACACAACACATCCAACCTTGGGGCAGATGAGCTACAGCAGCAGAAGACCACACCGGGTGCCACTCCTGTCATCTAAAAACAGGAAACTGAGACTACAATTCACACAGGCTCACCAAAACTGGACAATAGAAGATTGGAGAAACGTTGCCTGGTCTGATAAGTCTCCATTTCTGCTGCAACATTCGGATGGTCGGGTCAGAATTTGGCCTCAACAACATGAAAGCATGAATCCATCCTGCCTTCTATCAACAGTTCAGGGTGCTGGTGTATTGGTGTGGGGGATATTTTGGCACACTTTGGGCCCATTAGGACCAACTGAGCATTGTGTCAACGCCACAGCCTACCTAAGTATTGTTGCTGACCATGTCCATCCCTTTATGACCACAGTGTACACATCTTCTGATGGCTACTTCCAGCAGGATAACGCACCATGCATGAATCATCTCAGACTGGTTTCTTGAACATGACAATTAGTTCACTGTACTCAAATGGCCTCCACAGTCACCAGATCTCAATCTAATAGAGCGCTTTTAGGATGTGGAGGAATGGGAGATTCACATCATGAATGTGCAGCCGACAAATCTACAGCACCTCCGTGATGCTATCATGTCAATATGGAGCAATATCTCTGAAGAATATTTCCAGTACCTTGTTGAATCTATGCCACAAGGGATTAAGGCAGTTCTGAAGGCAAAAGGGGGTCCAACTGGGTACTAGTCAGGTGTACCTAATAAAGTGGCCGGTGAGTGTAAATACCCTATATATCTAAGTAGTTGAGGGAACATTGCAGACTGGCTGATTGTAAATGTGAATTAACTCTCTGCCAGCAGGAGGATGGCATTTTTGGCTATGGTTATATTTGTTATTGTGGTGATCCACCATGTTGTTCTCACCATGGTCATGCTGCTGAGCTGGACGGCTGGTTTTCCGGCTGGAAGGACCAACACTTTGACGTTACAGTTGACGGCCACACTTGCACCAGAGGTCTTGATGGTTGATCGAGGAGGAGCGGTGACCTCAAACTCTAGAGACAGGGGCTGGTCCATCAGTGCTGGGTTCTAGGAGGACACAACTATATATTTTAGGGTACGTTCACACCTAAACACGTTAAATCAGACTCATTGATCAGGTTAAAGCAGGGTATTTGGTTGCCTGTATAAAATAAACCGCTTGTTGATGAATTAACACCATTAGGACCATTTTAAAGGCCAGTTTAGACAAAATAGTGTCTTCAATCCTTATCCTTCAGCTTAGTCTCTTATTTATCAGAGGTAACTTACTGTATCAGCCGCAACCCAGTACTGGGAAACACCCATACACACTCATTCACACACACTCATACAGTTTATTCAATTCACCTGTAGCATATATACCTATACCAAATATATTGCACCTATACCTTCCAGCATGTTTTACACAGCGGATGGCCTTCAAGCTGCAACCCATCACTGGGAAACATCCATACACACTCATTCACACTCATACACTACGGACAATTTAGCTCATTCAGTTCACCTATAGCGCATGTGTTTGGACTGTGGGGAAAACCCACGCCAACACGGGGAGAACATGAAAAAACTCCACACAGAAATGCCAACGGACCCAGCCGAGACTCGAACCAGAGACCTTTTTGATGTGAGGCGACAGTGCTAACCACTAAGCCACCGTGCCTTTGACAGCAGCTTCAGATTAAGTGGAGTGTGCTTTATACATCATGCTTTTGCTCACCAGCATCATGATTGTCCCTAGGTAGGTTGTTCTGAGGAGGACCTCCAAGTCTTTTGGCATCTGAAAATGAACAATAGTGTCTTATTGTCTAATTCTATTAGTATGTCATTGAGGATTAATTATGAGGAGCCTTACCCGTTCGTTTGCAATCTGCAGTTGGAAAAGTCCACCTTTGAAGTAAGAGTAGAGGCCACTGTCGAAGAAGTACTCGGAGAGAGCCAGATAAATCATACGATCATACTCTCTCACTACTGGATTCACTGCGTAGTTCACTAGAGTGTCGTTCTCATTCTTAAGATCATAAAACATGCCCTGTAGAGGTGAGGGAGAGAAATACATAATAATAAAACTATTATTCATTAAAAGTGACTTGTACATGCCAAAAAATATTATATTATATTATATTATATTATATTATATTATATTATATTATATTATATTAAATTATACTATGTTATATTATATTGTATTATACTATATTATATTATACTATATTGTATTATATTACTATATTATATTATACTATATTGTATTATATTACTATATTATATTATACTATATTATATTGTATTATATTATATTATATTGTATTATATTATACTATTTTATATTGTATTATATTATATTGTATTATATTATACTATATTATATTGTATTATATTATACTATTTTATATTGTATTATATTATACTCTATTATATTGTATTATATTATACTATATTATATTATACTATATTGTATTATATTATACTATATTGTATTATACTATATTATATTGTATTATACTATACTATATTATATTGTATTATATTATACTATATTATATTATACTATATTGTATTATATTATACTATATTGTATTATACTTTATTATATTGTATTATATTATACTATATTATATTGTATTATATTATATTATATTATACTATATTATATTGTATTATATTATACTATATTATATTGTATTATATTATACTATATTATATTATACTATATTATATTGTATTATATTATACTATATTATATTATACTATATTATATTGTATTATACTATACTATATTATATTGTATTGTATTATACTATATTATATTGTATTATATTATATTATATTATATTATATTATATTATATTATATTATATTATATTATAAATGCACACACGCATGCATATATTTGAGAAAGTGTTTGTTTATATTTAGATATAAAAAATGTATATAATAAAAATTGTAAATAAATTTTAATATCTATGTTTTGTACTGTTTTGTTTTTATGTGTGCATTACATGTTCATGATAAATATATATAACAAACACACATATCTTATGTCAAACTAAACTTTTATTTTAAATGCAATTAATCTTTGCCCAGCACTTTTATTTTTTTATTTGTTTATTAATTTTTTCCAATTGATTATTGTACTACTTATTTATTTATTTTTATTTGATGATTTATTTGTTTTATTTATGTATTTGTCTATTTATTTATTATTTTATTATTTATTATATTTTATTATTCATTTATTTATTTTACTTATGTATTTGTTTATTTTATTATTTGTTTATTTGTTTTATTTTATGTATTAGTTTATTTATTATTTTATTTATTATTGTATTATTTATTAATTTGTATTTGATTATTTATTTTATTTATGTATTTGTTTATTTATATGATTATTTTTATTTTTTATTTGAGCATTTATATATTTTATTTGTGTTTATTTATTATTTTATTGATTATTGTACAATATATTAATTTATTTATGATAATTTGTTTATTTTACTTATGTATTTGGTTATTTATTTATTATCTTATTATTGATTTTTATTTTATTATTTTATTTATTTTATTGTATTTATGTATTTTCAATTTTTTTATTATTTGTTTATTTGATTCATTTTATGTGTTTGTTAATTTATTTATTATTGTATTATTTATTTATTTATTTATTTTTATTTGATAATTTGTTTTATTCATGTATTTGTTTATTTATTATTTGATTATTTTTTATTTAAATTTGATTGTTTATTTTGTTTATGTATTTGTTTAGTACTTATTATTATATTTATTATTTTATTTATTATTTTATTATTATTAATTTATTGTATTGTATATTTATTTATTTATTTTATTTTCTAAATAAAATATTACACAGGTTAAGAAAGTATATTTTCCACATTTAACAATATAATTTTGTGCAATACCTTCCATTGAATTAAATACAAAATTTACTCATTTTTTTGTGATGTATGTAAGTGTATGCAGGAGTGTAGGTGTTTCCCAGTGTTAGGTTGCGGCTGGAAGGGCATCCACTGCGTAGAACGTGTTGGAATAGTTGTCGGTTTATTCTGCTGTGGCAATCCCTGATGAATAAAGAGACTAAGCCGAGGAGAATGAATGAATGAATGAATATAATATTAAAGAGAGCCCCCACATATGACTGTAAAGCATTTTGGATGTATAAGCACTTTTTTAAATGTATTCATTCAGTCATTCATCCATTTATATATTTTCCCTTTTTTCCAAAAATCATAATGATATGCAGATTTTCTATTTAGGAAACATTTCTTAATATTCAAAATGTTAATTTATTTAATAAAAAACAAGTTTAAAACATGATGCATTTGTTTAGAAAAACAAACACTGCATCTTTTCTGACCAGTAAAATAAACTTATCAGAATCCATTCATTTATTATGTTCAGTCTCTGATTTATCAGAGGTCGCCACAGTGGAATGAACTGCCAACTTTTCCAGCATATGAAATTTATTTTCCAGCATAAATTTCACTTACCCTGAAATCCATATCAAGGCTGGTTTCTGTCACCACAGGGTCACTCAGCAGAGAGTAATCGATGCCTATGTAACTGTCCACCTGTGCACGCACTGCAAAACATGGTCAGGTGAATGCACAATATAAAGATCAATATATCATGACAACATATTTCATGGCAATCATCACTGCTCTCTAACCTGGGATTGTTTCCAGAAGCTGGTTCACAGAAACTAGAGCAGCATGATTCAGGACTGGACAAATCTGAGAAATGATAGATATACACAGTGCTCAGCATAAATGAGTACAGCCCTTTTAAAAGTTATATTTTGCAGTGAATAGAGCCAATATATGTTGGCGCATTTAAACAAAACATTTTTTATTAAGCAGTTATATCCATTAAAATAAGAGTTTGGTCACCTGGCATCTTTAGGAATAGAAAGAGAATACATTTATATTAAAGGTTACAGCAAAAAAAATAAAATAAATATATATATATATATATTTTTTTTTTTTTTTTTTTCTACTATTTTTTTTTCTACTTTTTTCTACTAGAATTTCTACTATATGTATTATTTTTATTATTATCATGATTTTTCCTGTTTTTAAAATTTTATCTAATATTTATCCCCAACACCTAACTATTTTTTGAACTGTGAGCTTTTTTTTGTTTATTTATTTATTTGTTTTTGTTTTTTTTATTAGCTCTAGATTTGGCTTCAGTAATCTATTGTACAGTTAAAGTCAGACTTAAAAGCCCCCCCCCCAAAATTTATTTTCTTTTCTTTTTTAAAGGATATTTTCACAGTATGTCTGATAATATTTTTTCTTCTGAAAAAAATCTTATTTGTTTTATTTTGGCAAGAATGAAAGCAGTTTTTATTTTTTAAACTCTATTTTTAAGGTTAATATTATTAGCCCCTTTAAGCTTTTTGTTTTCGACAGTCTACAAAACAAACCATCAATACACAATAACTTGCCTAATTACCCTAACCTGCCTAGTTAACCTAATTAACCTAGTTAAGCCTTTAAATGTCACTTTAAGCTGTATAGAAGTGTCTTGAAAAATATCTAGTCAAATATTATTTACTGTCATCATGGCAAAGATAAAATAAATCAGTTGTTAGAGATGAGTTATTAACACTATTATGTTTAGAAATGTGCTGAAAAAATCTGCTCTCCGTTAAATAGAAATTGGGGGGAAAATACACAGGGGGGCTGATAATTCGGGGGCCTAATAATTATGACCTCAACTGTATATGCACAAATATATTGTTGTAAATCAACCTATGGAAAATATGAATTTAACAGAGAGATCTGTGAGGGGTGCATTTATTGTATAGGGGAGCGCAGGGCACAAAGTAACGCGAGGTAAAATGTAATACGAAGTTTTAAGGTATTTGCTCAGGGTTAACCATGACATGCTTCCAAGGTGTTCACCAGTGTCGGCAGATATCTTCTGCCAATTATTGAAAAAGTTCAATGAAATTTGGATGCGAAACACAGGAGAAAGCATTTTTGCACCATAAAAGTAATTTTTATGATACTCTATAGTTTATAAATATATTTATGTATGTATATATGTATGGAAATATATATGTATATGTGTATATATATATATATGTGTGTGTGTGTGTGTGTGTGTGTGTGTGTGTGTATATTTATATATATATATATATATATATATATATATATATATATGTATGTATATATATATATATATATATTAAGGGTGGAGCCGAACCCGAATACGGTATTCGGAAAGGCACGAATAGCGTGTTTTTACGAATACTTCATTCGAACAAATACTTGAAAAATTATTTGTATTCGGGAGCAAGAAAAACACTATATCAAAAAGCAGCGTTTCCTCATAGCGTTTCCTCATGAGACCACAGTGCATGCCCGCGTGAGAGAGAGAGAGAGAGAGAGAGAGAGAGAGAGAGAGAGAGAGAGAGAGAGAGAGAGAGAGAGAGAGAGACACACACACACACGCTCAGTGCAAAACGCGCCAAAGCCCGAAACTGAAAGCGAGACGTGACTTTTAAGGGGTTGTTTCATATGGATTTATTAACCATTCTTACTGTTCAGTGATCGCAAACTGCTGTAGTTTATTAAAGACGCAAACCTCTCACTGCACGTCAGCTGCGCGCCTTCAGCAGACCTCCTCATTCCTGCAGCACGAGAGCTTTATGATTGTTTATGCGCGCCAAAAGTGGCGGATCTGTCCGGTAAAATATCTGACTGCGTGTCACCGCATCCCTAAGGACTGTTTGGCGAAATATTTGACTGCATGTCACTGCATAACAAACGACTGAAAGGATATAACTAGAGAACTCTCCACTGTGCTACTGGGTGATAGCGTATGGCAAGCTGTTTTAGCATTTAAACCATGTTCAGACTATCCATAAATATATTTAGAGATATCTCTAGTTATATTTTGACTTGTCATAATTATAATTCGACTAGTCAGATTGGAAATATCTGCAAATATATTATGACTGACTAGTCATATTCCTCCATTGACTTCCATTGAAAAATATTTGCAGATATCTCTAAATAAACAAACAAACAAACTTTGTGTCTGTTTTGTGGCTGGCAGATGACAATAGCAGGGCTGTATCTTTTAGTATTATATAGAATACTTTTGTTCTGCCAGATCTCCCAGGCAGGGTTTTATTTAGATTTATTTAGTTAATATTAGTTTTTGGAATTATGTCTATTGGAAAGAAGTTATTTCAGAAGAAGAACAGTTTTTTGAAGTATTATTTGTTTTTATTCTGTCTATTCAGTGTCCTTCAACAAGAGTGGTGGTGGTGGGGTTCATAATATTTACAATGGTATTTTATTAGTTGTTGGTTTAACCATGGATGAGATAATGGCTTCTATGTTATTTTCTTTTCAATGACATTTCTTATCACATGTTCAAAAACAACAGCCAATATTGCATATCTATAATTTATATAATGGGTATAATTAAACAATACTTTCACTATAACGTAAATTAGAAGTGTAATAGAAAAAATATATATTTTTGCGCCATTTTGAATTTTACTCGAATACAAATACAAATACAAATACAAATACTTTTCCCCCCTCAACAAATACAAATACAAATACAAATACCGGCTGCTCCGCACATCCCTAATATATATATATATATATATATATGTATGTATATATATGTATATATATATATATATATATATATATATATATATATATATATATATATATGTATATATATATGTATATATATGTGTGTGTGTGTGTGTGTGCGTGTGTATGTATGTATATATATATATATGTATATATATATATTAAAAAAAAAATATATATATATATATATATTTTTATATATATATATATATATATATATATATATATATATATATATATATATATATATATATATATATATATATATATATTTTTTTTTTTTTTTTTTTTTTTTTTTTTTTTTTTTTAAGTGTATGTGAGTGCTGTGAATAGGCCAGAAAGTTTAACCTGGTATTATAAAATCAATCTGCTGCATCTGACGCTATTGCTGTGTCTTTATTATAATCTCATTACCTCAGGGGTCGCAGTCCAATAGAACTAGTAACTATAAGCTACTATATAGTATATAGTAACTATAAACAACTATTTTTTTCTCTTCAGTAGGTTATGGATAAAATATGGTAATTCTTATGGTTTAATAAAAAGAAATGGTTTAGGCTAAAAGATGGAACCATTTTGAAAGATGTGACTGCTAGCCAGTTTTGGGGAACACGCGACACAGCGGGGTTTGTTGTAACAAGGTGTTACAAATACGCCACACACTGTCGGACACCAAATAAACGAACAAAATAACTGTTGAATTTTGAGTGTAATGTTGAGAACTTTAAATAAAAAATGTTTTTTAATAGAAAATATTTGTTTAATAGAAAAAAAATATATTTTGATGCTAATAATGCAAATAAATGCATCGTGTAATAACGGATAATGATGCAAATAAATCCAAATGTGTTTATCCAATAAATAAATAAATAAACATGCTGTGCAGAATTTTAAAAAAAATTAGTTAAGTACTGAGGAAATATACTATTTAAAGTAAACAACATTTAAATTAATTGTGTGAAATCTTCCATTATATGCATGTGTTACAACTAACCATCTGTCTGTAATAACTTGCACAGATGGGGTAAATAGTAACATTTTTATTCCTGGCTACTTTTGGCAACACTGCACAGAAACCATAGGACCAGCGATCATACAACCAGTGCTCATTTTTAAGAGAGGCTTGTGTATTGTTGGTTAAAAAAAAAAGCTTTATCTAACCCTACATTGTTCATTATGTGGCCAAAACCAAAACGTGTTCATTTGTGGCCCGGTCTACCGTATGCAAACAATGTATATGCAAAGGTTTGTTAGATCAACTTAAAAGGTGTAAAAACCATAGCATCACAAGACATGCACTAAATGATGGTGAATGAGGTGGAAAAAAGGGAAACAAACCCGTTTATTTAAGAGGAAGCGCATTCCTGTAGTCAAGAACGTCCCAATGAAGTCATAAACCCTCCTGTGAGAATATTATAAAGCACAAGAATACAGAATATTACAAACACGTCAACTATGTCACTCCCATATGAAAATCTGATGAACATACACATGAAATTAGAGTTAATATTTAATAATAATAATTTAACATACACTACCTGACAAAAGTCTTGTTGTCTATCCAAGTTTTAGGAACAGCAAATAATAACTGGACTTCTAGTTGATCATTTGGTATCAGAAGTGGCTTATATGAAAGGCAAATGCCTCTAGATTACGCTTATTTGACCAAAGTAAAATATGATCATGCCTTGATTTTTGATTATTTATTTAGGACAGTAAGATCTGACATTGCTTAGACAAAAGTCTTGTCGCCTTTACAGAAATAATGTCCAGTATAGAATATAAAGTCATGCTGCAGTGGAGACAGAATGAATATTGTGTCTGATTCCATCATGAGCTTGGAGGACTGCATCCATACATCTCTGATTCAAATCACACATTAATAAAGTCACCTGGAAAGGCAAAGAAAGCGTTCCTGCAGGACTCCCAGAGTTCATCAAGATCCTTTGGATTCATCTTCAATGCCTTCTCCTTCATCTCACCCTAGACATGCTTAATCATGTTCATATCTGGTGACTGGACTGGCCAATCCTGGAGCACTTTGATCTTCTTTGCTTTCAGGAGCTTTGATGTGGAGGCTGAAGTATGAGCAGGAGCGCTATCCTGCTGGAGAATGTGCCCTCTCCTGGGGTTTGTAATGTAACGGGCAGCACAAATGTCTTGATTCCTCAGGCTGTTGATGTTGCCATCCACTCTGCAGATTTCTCACACATCGCTATATTGAATGTATCCCCAAACCTTGATTTTTCCTTCACCAAACTTGAGTGAATCTTGAGTCCATGCGGGTTCCAGTAGGTCTTCCGCACTCCGCAGTATTTGTGATGATTGGGATCAAAAGATGATTCATCAGAAAAATCCACCTTCTGTCAGGGTTCTGCCACTCTGGTCCTTGTAAATTCTTGTTTTGGTGGCACAGCTCTGACACTACCCATGTCTGGTCGTGTTTCTGTCTCTGTGTGCGCGCGCGCCGTCGTGGGTGTACGCAGAGACGCGCGCGCTCTTGTACTAGTGTTTGTGTTTGTTCTGTCAGCATCGCGCTGCTTTATTCTCGGCGCCTCTGTCTAGTTGGTTTCAGTTTTGGTTGGCCCTGAGATGAAGCATGCGCGTTGCTTATGTGTGAGCGCACGGTGAGGTATTTATCTATCCTGTGCTCGTGTCTTGCGTCTTTTGTCAAAGCACGTGGCTCGGTGTTTACATTGTGGTCACGTGCTTTTGTCGTGTGCTTCAGTGTTGTGCTTGTCTTGTCATGAACATGCGGTTAATGAGTTCTGCATGTTCTTGCCCTGTTTTTTGTGAGCGCATGGCTTGTGTTGTCTCTCTGTGTCATGCGCTCTCCCGTCTATTGTCTAGTCCCACCCTCCTTGTTAACTCATTATTTGTTAGTCATGTTCACCTGTGTGTCAATTTACTTTTTGCTTTATAATCCCCTCATGTTTTCAGTCCTGTGCCAGTTCGTTGTCTACACTCCCCGTGTTCCTGCTCCAGTCTTGCCATGTCTTGTCAGCCCAGCCAAGTTTATGTGTTTTGTTAATGTTTTCCCCCTCGGGGTAGTTTTGTTTTGCCTTTTATTTTTATTTTATTATTAATAAATACCCATTGTTTCTTTGCACTTGAGTCCTCGCTCCTTTTTCCCCCTCACCGACCGTGACACCTTCTGCCACTTTTCCAAGTGATCAACTAATAAAAGTTATTACTTGTTGCTCTTACAACTGGGATCAACGACAAGACTTGTTGTGTCAGGTAGTGTACATGTAATATATATTGATAATTTTGCCTTTAACTGTATGGCATTTACGACTGTGATATCCAGAAAATAACTTGTATTTGATTTGCATATATTGCGATAAGTCGGATTTACATTTTAAAAAAGTAAGCCCATTGCTTTTAAAATTAGTTGACTTTACCTAAAAAAAGTGAGTAAACCTTATTTAATAATTATTATTTAATAAATCACAAGTTATCAAGTAAATGAACTATGTGCATATTATAGAAATCAATTTAAGTTGAAGTTTAGTTCAAGTTATAATGGGTTTATTAACTTTAAGTTTCTTAGATGTTAGTATCAGTATTGCTAGTTTTAAGGATATCTATAAGCTAGTGTGCTCCAAAACAGTGACAAAATTCGCATTTAGGAGATATAAACCTGATATAAACATCTAAAGCTTGCAGTTTGTCACTTCTGCCTAAATTAGGGGTGTCCAAACTCAGTCCTGGAGGGCCGCGGTTCTGCATATTTTAGTTCCAACCCCACTTAAACACACCTGAACCAGCTAATCAAGCTCTTGGTATACTAAAACCTCCAAGCAAGTGTGTTGAAGGAAGTTGGAGCTAAACTATGCAGGACAGCGGCCCTCCAGGACCGAGTTTGGACACCCCTGAACCCCCCTAAATGGATCAAAAAAAAATTTCCACATTACCTAATAGTTTCTTGTCAAATCTTCTGGCCAATCAAATGCTCTCTAGTATCTCAAATGCCCCGCCCCCTTCAAGACGTTTCTCATTTGATGCGCTAGAGCAGTGGTTCCCAACCTGGGGTGGCGCCAGAGTTCACAAGGGGGGCGCGGGAGAGGATAAGTGTATATTTTGGTTTTATTGAAGGCCAAGACAAGTTAAAACTGATTAATTTATATTTTCTATACATATTATATAATAATATTACACAAACACACACATACAGTATATATATATATATATATATATATATATATATATATATATATATATATATATAGTACATATGTGTGTGTGAGTGTGAATTTTAATGGTGGGGGGGCTCCAATGTTTGTATATGCTCATGGGGGGGCCCCTAAGAAAAAGGTTGGGAACCACTGTGCTAGAGCTCAACTACACTCACTGACAGAGCGGTGTTTTTAACAAAACGCTATTGGCTGTCTCTTAAAAAGGGGAGGGGTTACTATATGTCCCGCCCTATCTTCAAGTTTCGCTTGAGATTCTGTCAAACATTGAATAAAAATGCACGTTTTAAAGCATTTTACCAGACCTTACTTTTACCTTTGAGGCGTCGAGTTTACTTCATTATTAAAAGTAAAGTTAGTCATCGCTTTTTTACAGTGGTAGTAGTGAATGTGGCTCTTACAATTAATATATTAAAAAGTTAAAGTGAAGTACCCGAGGGTCCCACTGAATTTGGCTCTCATCTTGGCGATGGAGGCATCACAGGTGACGTTGGAGATCTTCAGACGACCCTCGTCGTCTTTGCTGAGATGAAGGACGGTGAAGATGTTGACACCTTCTGCTGAGGCGTTGATGGCTCCCTCATCATAACTAATGGAGAAAATGCAGGCATGTAACGTTAAACTTCATCTCTATCACAGCTTATAACATTATCAATGTTTTCTTGTTCAGAATAACTACTGAAGCTATATAAATTATATCTATATATTCTGCGGCATGGCTATGCAATAAACTGCCAGTGTGTATTAGAAGTATTACAAATGCGGCTAGTTTTATTTTAAAATCTAAAAGCAGAATAGTATGTTGATTTTATAGTGTGGTTTAATGTTTTTTTTGTCATTGTATTTGTATTTACTTATATAGTTTAGCGTCACAGTGTACCTGTTACCGGGAGTACCCCAACAGCAAAGAATTCTGGCCCAGATTTAGCATAAAGCATAAAGCTAAATCTGCAAGACGGTCACTGGTTCAAGTCTCGGCTGGGTCAGTTAACAATTCTGTGTGTTCGTGTGCGTTTACTCTGGGCGCTCCGGTTTCATTTGTGAATGAGTGTGAATAAATGTTTCCCAGTGATGGGTTGCAGCTGGAAAGGCGTCCGCTGCGTAAAACATGCTGGATAAATTGGCGGTTCATTCCGCTGTGGTGACCCTAGATTACTAAAGGGACTAAGCCAAAATGAATGAATGAATATCGACATATGTCTAATCTTTAATAAAGTTTTTAAGTCTCATTAAACATCTCATTGTGTGCTTTGTCTTAGACGTTTACATTTTGGAATTTATTTTGGGTTCCTTTTGGTTTATTGTCTTTAATAGGGTCTAAAGATGCTCCGAAACGCTGTTCAATTATCCTGTCAGGTTTGATAAATATAATGTATTCTCACTAAATAAGATACTCAATTCTAACAATTGCTGGTTAATTGAATGATAAACGTGTTGTCTTGATTTCTGCAGGTGCATTCAGACTCACAAGAGCCAGTAAAGGATGCGTCTCTGGAAGTTGAGGGTGATGGAGGAGTTCTGCACCTCAAACAGCAGACCAACATCCGGCTGGAAGCGCAGGTCAGACGCCAGGTTCAGCTCGATAATCCTCACACTGAAGAAACATGAGCTTCACATTAGAGACCGCTTCATCATAGCTAATGCATGTAGGTATAATAAATAAAGTCTTTACATACAAGAACAAGAGCTCATTACACTTTATCTGCTGAAGAACCATATACAAATTACTCATTGGATCTACTAAATTATTTTAAGGTAAACAATAGTTAAAAGTGCTGCAAACAATTTATATGGGCTGAATTTAAACACATATTTAAGTTGAACATTACTAAATTTAATTCGTAAATAAATAAACAATATAAATTGTTTGAAACCACTTACCCTAAATTAATTTAGTAAATCCAATTTATATTTTTTTCAGTGATATGGTCACATCGTCAACTACAACAGGCATGTCCAAACTCGGTCCTGGTGGGCCGGTGTCCTGCAAAGTTTGGTTCCAACCCCAATCAGACACACCTGGGCTAGCTAATCAAGCTCTTACTAGGCTTTAAACATTCTTGCAGGTGTGTTGAGGCAAGTTGGAGCTAAAATCTGCAGGACACCGGCCCTCAAGGACCAAGTTTGGACACCCCTGAACTACAATATTGTTTCATTCAAGTCATAAAAGTCTTGTAATAACCCCCTGTGATACTCCAGGGTTTTTCAATGTGTTCCCTATTAAGGATTAAAGTTGCCACGGAACAGAAGTTCAGATTATCCATTTATCTACTATTTCGTGACATATATCCACTTGAAACAGTCTTTAAATAAGAAAAAATATAGGGCGGTGCATGATTTTGTTCTTTGGGAAGCGATTGGATTATAAAAAGATTGTTTATGTTGCTAGATTCACTAATAAAGGAATTTAGAGCAAAATCAAGACACCCGATGGTAGCCCTGCCCTAAAAGACTGATAGCTCCGCCCTAAAGGACTGATAGCTCCGCCCTAACATACTGATAGCCCCACCCAAAAGGACATATAGCTGGCCCTAAATTGCTGAGGGCGCCACCCTACAGGACAGATTGCTCTGCCTTACATCACTAATTGTCCCGCCCTAAAAGACTGATAGCTCTGCCCTAAATCGCTGAGATAGCTGTCCTAAAGGACTGATAGCTCTACCCTAAATTGCTAAAAGCATCACCCTAAATCACTAATAGTCCCGCCCTAAATCACTGAGAGCACTGTCCTAAAGGACTGATAGCCTCGTCCTAAAAGACTGATAGCTCCACCCTAAATCACTGATAGCCCCGCCCTAAAGGATTGATAGCTCTGCTTTGAATCACTTGTAGTCCAGCCCTGAATCACTGATAGCTCCGCCCTAAATGACATATAGCTCCACCTTAAATCACTGATAGCCCTGCCCTGAATAGCTTATAGCTCCGCCCTAAAGGAATTCCATGTGACCAGAGAAGAAGAAATTCATTTGACAGGGAGACTATGGAAGGCTATGGTAGATTAAAGTTTATGCAAGTTAATGTTTACAAAATAATGAAGTGCACCGATACATCATTTATAACAAGAACTATTATATATAGGTAAAAAAGAAGAGTGAATGTTGATTTTATGGCGACTTTAAACATGCAACTTTACGGAACCCCGGAAGGGACGTATAGTGGAGGAGAAAAAAAATTGGCTGGGTGAAAAAAAATAATGGGTCAAAGAAAAAAATGGGTGGGAGGAAAATATATATTTCTAAGTTTTTGTGTTCTCTCGCAAAGTTTTGCGTTCCCTCGCAAAGATGTTTTGCGTTCCCTTCTCCACAAACACTTCCTGTTCACTTCACTCACGTAAACCCTCCAGTTTTTGCCGTGCCCACTAGGGGCCCCTGCGAGGGGGGAGAAAAAAAGACAATTTCGCGATTGTCTTTTTAGGCGAATTGCAATTAGCGCATCTAGATGGAATAAACTATTCAGGGTTTACGCCCATCGAGGCCTGATTGATAGAGACAAGATGAGTAAAGAGCTTAACAGTAATACGGCTGCAGTGGAGCACCTTGTAAGAAACACAGTTTTATCTTTTGACGCAATTAATCATAAACTCGGTTCGAATCCACCATCAGCTGAACTCGTGCTACTTTTTTTCTCCCCATTACATATCAGATTGGAAATATATTTATTTTTAACAGGAAGGAAATATTTTATAAAAATAATACAAATTGTGATATAAAGTCACAAGTGTCTCGTGGGTATTTAATAATGTTTAGCCTTATTAAAGGTGCCTCCCTCTCTGCAAAAACTATATTGCTCAGACAACTGTATTTCCTCTGAGCAAAAAAAAAAAATCGCGATCACAAATTTATATTATTATTATATTTAAATTGCCTTTCTTTCTTTAACTAAACAGAATGCTGTAATTGGTCAAGCGCGGGAACGTCAGTTTTGTAATAACCCGCACTAAACTGAGCGGACTTTAGTGTAACGTTATATCTGTCATAGATCAAAAATGAGTGGACAAGTGGATTTAGCAAACGCGAGAGAAAGAGGAGGCATCTTTATTGACGCATTTGCCATACACACCATCTTTAAACAGACCCATGATCAGGAGAATGAGGGTACAGAAGAAGACGTTATGGTAACTTTAAATGATGAGAAGCTAGTATTAACCAGGTGGAGGAGGCTAACGGCAGCGTATCGCGGACTGGATTCATCGTGTGAGAGACAGACAGAAAAGGAGAGAGAGAGAGAGAGAGAGAGAGAGAGAGAGAGAAAGGCCCAGAAGAGGAAAGAGACGGGAGAGAAAAGGTATAGTGTGTGTGATTTCGGATACTTTTAGGTTTATAATCAAGTCTTCATCACGAGAAGAGTAGAGAAAATACAGAGAGAGGAGGAGAGAGACAGTAAATCAGTGTTTGTATTATGAAAGACTCAGATTCATAGAACTGTATTAGAGAAGCATTGTGCGTTATATGCCATGGCAATAATATGCTTTATAAGTTTGTAAAAGCAATACATTAAAATACCCTTAAAAAAAAGAAAAAAAAATAGTTTTATTAGTATTTTTATTCAATGCTTTGAAAAATAAGTTAAATCTTTGTAGACTATAAATACATATGTACTATATATCATTTATTTAAATATGTGGGCAACAAATTATAGATTCATTTTATTTAAAAATTATTATATTATTCTTATTTTTTAAATTCAACTATAGGGGTGCGGCCAGGTAGGGGGCCTTACAAGACAATGTGCCCAGGGGCCCCTGAGTTCTTAATCCGGGCCCGCACTTTCTTTACATTAATACTGTGCGTCGATCGTCGCCTTTCATAGGCAACATCTGAACCAGTGAATGCATGTATAAGCGCTGACTGACAGATGCGCTCCGTACAATAAACTGATCCCAGATCAGCTTCTGTACGCGCCATTTACACAGGAGCACAGAGGAGCGGGTGTATGTTAAAACAGACAAATACACTGAATAATATGTAAACATCTCCGTCCTACATGTTTTATTTTAAACAGCTACTTTTCTCTTAAATGAGCACAAACAGTTTCTAAAGTAATGGACTGTTTTCATTATAGATCTGTGCATTCTTACAGAGACACCTCTGTTATCAAACTAAACAAAACATGAGATTCATTTGCTGCTCACTTGTTTGATAACAGACGTGTCACTTTAAATGGCGCGTACAGACGCTGATCTGGGATCAGTTTATTGTACGGAGCGCGTCTGTCAGTCAGCGCTTATACATGCATTCACTGGTTCAGAGGTTGCATATATATTGCATATTAAAAAAGTGGGATAGAATGGTAAAATATGGGAAAATTTCGGCTAAAACGGGAGGGTTTACGTGAGTGAAGTGAACAGGAAGTGTTTGTGGAGAAACAGTTTTGCGAGATAACACAAAACTTTGCAAGGGAACGCAAAAACTTAGAAATATATATTTTCCTCCCACCCATTTTGTTCTTTCACCCATTTTTTTTTTCACCCAGCCAATTTTTTCTCCTCCACTACGTCCCTTCCGGGGTTCGGTACAACTCTGTATCTCTTAGGTACCCCAGTTCAAAGTTAGGGGGAGTAGGTGAGATTAAGCTTCTTATAAAGCATACAAAAACCTGAATATGCTTGCAGATATTTAATAGACATGCTGAAGGATTTTGTTTTTGTGAAAAGCAATGCTAAAGTCAGCTATTCTCCATTGGTAAACTGCGTTTCGTGTCAGAATGTCTGTCTTTGTTTTGGCCTTTATAACATGCCCACTGCCAGTCTACCTAATTAATTTTTTCATCACTGTGTTGGAAATCACACATATTTCTTTTCAGTCTTGAAGGCTCCTCAGTATATGTGGGTGTAGCTCAAAATGCGACATTAGCAACTTTCCGACACGCAGATTCAGAGTATTAAAAATCTATGAGGTAGATTTTAATTAGCAAATAATAAAAACATTACAAACAAAAACATTAGCAGGTTGTATTGTAGGCTCAATCGTCAGGCACACTCACTTCTGTTTGTGTCAGTAATCTGGCAACCTGCATTTAGGTATCCGCTTGTTAAGTGGTGATGTGTTGGTGACGTATGTAATACTGTTTCCGGGTCCAAGCCACCATTCATTTGAGTGGAGAAATCATTCGTTTGTGATCACTTTTTATTCATATCATACATTAAAGTTAATTTTGAATAAAGTCAAAGTGTCCACAACAATCTCTGGGCTTGCTGCATCACAAATACCAAAAATTTAACAATTTATAAAAAAAGGAATGACTTTCTGGCCATTGGATATTAGGCATGGACATAAATATTGCGATCGTGATTTTCGAAAGTATTAAATCGCCTTGTAAACGTTTATTATTACCATTTCACGAGTCTCCCAATTCAGTTGAAAAGAGCGCTTGGAGCCGGAAGCCGCTTCGCATGACATCTCACTTAACAAACGAATAGTCAAGGAGGGGCGGAGTCATAAAAGCCTCTTCAATATTTTGAATTTTGATTGCAATGTCTAGTTTAACCACTAGGTGTCCTTTAAAAGAAGCAATCACCTCCAAAACTGAAACTCCTGTCATTTACTCGCCTTTTATTTGTTCTAAACCTCTTTGACTTTCTCTCATTGAACACAAAAGATATTTTAGGAAAACTGGAAAATCACACATTATTTTTTTTCCTACTAAGCTAATAAGTTTTCAGCTTTCTTCAAATCATCTTCTTTTGTGTTCAACTGAGAAAAAATCTCACAAAGGTTTGTAACCACTTGCGGAAGAGTAAATAGTGAATACATGTTTATTTTCAGTGAACTATCCCTTTAATTTGGAACAAATTGGAAGCACTTGTGTCAGAATGACCACATGAGGGCGCCATTTTGGACATACTTTAGATTTGCAAGTGTAGGAATCCAGTAGATAAAGTATAAACACACTTATTGATGGTGTACTGGAAACGGCCCTCGGATCCTTGCATCTCTGGCATGGTGATGTTACTCAGCTCTTCTTCCACAAACTTCTTGGTCTCTGCCTTCACTGCAAAACATCAACTTTTAGAGACGACACGATTATAAACGTGCTGAATATTGGACGTTTTGTTCGAGTTCTTACACATCTCCAGTCCTTTTTTGGTGATGCGGATCTTGCATCCAGGCGGCTCGGCTAATGTCATTGTGATGAGTGAGAGTAGAAAGACGACAGACACTTTTAGCAGTCCCATGATTCCTCAGCTGACCTAAAAAACAGCAATTTATTACATAAATAAATGATTAAGAGACATTTAGGAGGTGTTTACAGTATTAAAATTTAAGATTGGACATTAATGGAATCTATCCATTGAACTATGTACTTTATTGTGATAAAAATAAAACATTAAAGTGTTCTTTACACCTAAAATATTTTAAAATTGATCACTGAAAGGTTCTTTGGGCACAAAAAAATGCAAAATTTCCACTTTAAAAACCTTTATTTTGTAAAGTAAACCAAGAATTACCCAAAAATATTAACATGAAAAGCCTTATTAATATTTGTTCATCTCTAATTTGTATCTTTTCCATAAATAAGTAATAATTTAATATAAAGAATTAAAAATAAGTCAAGATTAAACACTCTACAAGTTAACACAATGCAATAGAATTAACTAGAGAATTGATTGAATTAAACATAATTGCACAAACAAATCCCTTCTTGTTTATTAGTTATACAACGTGTTACTCTCTGGTCTCTGAGAGGAAGGAAGTCCATTTATATTGTAGTTTTTCATCCTCCTCATTTACTCTCATTTTCTTTCCATGCAGTCCTGCACCAAACAGCTTCTTCAGTGCGGCAATGTAAAAATAGAAGCTGACGACAGCTGAATATACACAGACAGCAAAGCAAATTAGAGAATGATCTTGCCTTTCAAGTGTAAGAAAATATCCAGCCCTGGAGGTCCAAGTGTTTCCTCTGTTGTTTCTGTAGCAGTGTGTGTGAGGGGTCTGTGTCTGCGTGTGTGTTTATAGTGCAGAGGAGGAGAGACTGACTGTGAGCCTCGTCTGAATGGACAGCAGAGAGAGAGAGGGAGGGAGGAGGGGGACTCTTACAGCATCACCACACTGTAAAAAATGCAGGGTTCCACACAATTTCTTCCTGTTGTCCCAACACAAATCGATTAAGTTAACTGTTTTTACAAATTGAAGTGCATGGATTGAATATAAAACCATTAAGTTGTGTCAAAAAAAACCCTCAAGATTTGTGTTGATTCAACTCCAATTTAATAAGTAGTTTGAACAAGCAGCAACACACTTTTTTGAGTGCAGTGAGAGGATGAAAGGGCACCTATGGTGAAAATCATCTTTTGTAAGCTGTTTGGAAAGAACTATGTGTAGGTATAGCAGGCCCGTAGCATGCCTGGTGAAAGCGGTGGTTCTTTTTCTCAAAATGTGGACTTTTTTGCAGTTATTCACCTCATTCACAAGTTTCTACATCTTGTTTATATACACTATGAACAGCAGCTACGCTTAATATTCTCTTTATTCTCCATTTCCACCTGGGGATACTCATCCCGAGGTCCTCAGATTATGCGGAGTCACTGATTGGATCCAAGACCAGCGACGAGATGATCTAAAGGTGTCCATATCCGGGACCAGGCCATATCCTGAGCTGCTGCTGCTGCGCTGTTGGTCATGGGGGAGTGGAGAGCATGAGACTGATTCCAGTGACGCTCCAGGGACAGACGAGTCTTCGCTGAGGCCAGCTTCCAGCCTCCACCACAGTGACTGAAGCTCTGCACAAGACTTTTGGCCAGCGGAGAAATTAAAATGGTTGTGCCCAACTGAGTCTGGTTCCCTCAAGGTTTTTTTTTTTCTTCACTCCCCTATTGGTGAAGTTTTTTTCCCTCTCCGCTGTCGCCACTGGCTCGCATGGTTCAGGATCTGAAAAGCTACTTATCGATAAATTAGCTATTCAGTGTTTGGACTCTCAATAATGACTTCAAACCACACTGAACTGAGCTAAACTGAACTTAAACACTAAAAACTGAACTACCCTGATCCAGTTACTCTGACCATTTATGTGAAGCTGCTTTGACACAATATGCATTGTAAAAGCGCTATACAAATAAAGCTGAATTCAATTGAATTTTCTATTTAATTATGACGTTTAAATACTCCAATAAGTGGAATTTTAATTAATTTTAGCTGGATTAGCTTGTTGTATCCTCCATTTTTGAAAATATTTCCTAAAGATTTGTAATTAACAAAAATAAAAAAAAGAGCTTCACGATTTTCTTCTAGCCTCTCTTGAAAATTCATCTAACAACAAGCCTAATTAGTATTAACAGCAAAAAGTCATTCTGAGGCACTCAAAGAATGTAGAAAAAAATCTTAAATATCCTGAATTGGCATTGCTATTTTTAAAACTGCGCCTACACTTTTTGATAACACTTGACTTCATCAGGGTATCCTCCGCAGTTTTAAGGAACAGCCATGTCAATAAAGGCTTAATGTTATTTTTTCACATTTTGTGAGTGCCTTGGACTTACTTTTGATGTTTATTCTGATGAGTCCTTTACACAAAGAGCACCGACACATTATTTAAGCTACCCCTAGAAACTTTTTGTTTGATTTTGGATTTTTATACGCAGCCTAGTATTAAAATGAACTTTAATAGGCTGCTTTCGGTGCTTTTTCATTGGTACCACCCAAACCTCCCCCTGGCTACGGGCCTGTATAGTGTCCACAGTCATATTAGGGTGATATAAACACAATAAGTCTCTTTTTAAAAATTTCCTGATGTTAAAATAGCATCCAGATCCCTGTAATTTTGAGGCCCGCCGCAACTTGACATAGGAGTGCGGTTTGCCCACCCACCAAATTGATTGGCAGCTGCGTATTACCATTTCAACAAGACAGGACGTGCGCAAAGCAAGCAATAAAAGGTCTTTTCAGTTTGCTAGGATCATCAATCATCATCAAATGTGATCAAGAATACGTTTTACAAGTTTAAAATGTTTTAAAACAGTGCATGTTTGTAATGAATTACAGCGATTTACTTCATCAGCACAGCCGCGTGTCAGAACAAGGTTTGTAGACGTTAAATCAGGTTTATTTTGTACATTAACATAACAGATATCCATACAGCAGTGGATTAACGTGTATCCTATCACATTTGCTGTACAAAAACAGTGCAAAACTAAACGAGCGCAGTGTGTTTTGATGATGCAATATACTACCCATCAGATTTTCAATCAATTTTTTTTCAATTTTAATGTGGATTAGTGTGATATAAAGCTGTAATATGTGTGTCAAACTCAATTCCTGGAGGGCCGAAGCCCAGCACAGTTTAGTTCCAACCCTGCTCCAACACACCTACCTGTAGGTTTCAAACAAGCCTGAAGGACTCAATTAGTTTGATCAGGTGTGTTTAATTAGGGTTGGAACTAAACTGTGCAGAGCTGCGGCCCTTTTGGAACTGAGTTTGACACCTGTGCTCTAACCCATACCTAATCCATAAAACCGGATTTATACTGGCGCCTGACACCGCATCGTGCACCTCCGCTGATAACCAGGATAAACAGAGAAGTAGAACGTTTCCGAAACTACGTCACATCATTAATATCATTTAAGATTTTTTAACTTTGTTTTTTTTTTTTTTTAAATAATTTATTTTAATGATTATAAAGATTTTTATAACCAATGAAGATGTTTTTAAATCAAACTGCATCACTTGCTTTTGTTCATATCTCGGACAGTTTTACCTATTAAAGTTTATTAAAATATTAATGACAAGAGAACATGGGTTGCTCTGCAAATATATTTTTTATTATGGCAAGAATAAAAGCAAAAAAAAAAATATATATATATATATATATATATATATATATATATATATATATATATATATATATATAATTTATTTATTTTTTTTAATTGTATTTTTTTTTTGCTTTTATTCTTGCCATAATTAAAATGTATTTGCAGAGCAACCCATGTTCTCTTGTCATTAATATTTTTTATATTAATTAATATCTTTTCAAGACACTTCTATACAGCTTAAATTGACATTTAAAGGCTTAAGTAGGTTAAATAGGTTAACTAGGCAGGTTAGGGTAATTAGGCAAGTTATTGTATAATGATGATTTATTCTGTAAACTATCGAAAAATATATAGTATTAAAGGGCTTATAATTTTGTCCTTAAAATGTTTAAAAAAATAAAAACTGCTTTTATTCTAGCTGAAATAAAACAAATAAGACTTTCTCCAGAAGAAGAAATATTATCAGACATACTGTGAAAATTTTCTTGCTGTGTGAAACATCATTTTGGAAATATTAAAAAAAAAAAAAAAAAAGGAAAAAAAAATCTAATAATTCTAACTTCAACTGACGTTTTTTATTTTTTTTTCATTTAGCCCAGTCCACAATCACTCCACAATTCACTTGTTTCTGTACTCTATACTTTACATTTACATTACTGAGCAGTATCACCAATAAAGCCTAGAAAAACAGGGCATTAGTATATTGTAAACTGATTATATTCTTTCCCAGTTATCAAAGAAATAATTTCTTCATTTTAGTTTTGTAATATATACATCAGTGTTGTTAAACCTATGAATGGTGGAAAAACATATTTCTGTAATTGTGTATTAAAAACACCTGGGTCTACATTTTTGCCATGGCGGAGACAAACTGATCCTTTAAGTTTTTCTAAACCTTTTAGCAGAAACTTTCCTCCTTTTCCACAGCTGTTGCAATTTCTAATCAATGATTATTGGTCATCTGATTACCCCTATGATCACGGATCATAAATATTTCTATACTGGCATTCTGTTTCAGACAAAATCTCTTCAAAGTGTTTTATATTCAAATCAAATGCAGCGCTGCGCTAACTGTTTGCTGGAGACTCAAAAAAAATTATGCGCTCCGCCAGCCGAAATCATGTCGCGCGCAAAACACCGCAATGACGTCACATTCGCCGCGCGCACTCACGCGAACTAGCGGACACGTCGAGTATAAACCAGGCTTAACCCCAACCTCAGAACCATTCAAATACAGTGTTGGTAGCATAATTTGACGGGTAGAATAAGGGCCTACTCACACTATGTTATCCGTACCGTGCCCAAGCCAGCTTCCCGGATCGTTTGAGAAGTGTGTGCGCGCTGAATCAGGCTCAGGCACGGTTCACTTGGCCGGCCCTGGCCCGGTTGGAAGAGGTGGGCCTGAGCGCAGTTCACTTGGGGTTTGGCGCGGTACGCTTGTGTGTGAGTGCAAAACGCGTCAAAGCCCGAAACTGAAAGCGATACGTGACTTTTAAGAGACTGTTTCATATGGAATTAATAATCATTCTTACCGTACAGTGAACGCAAAGTGCCGTAGTTTATTAAAGATGCAAACCTCCTGGTTTATACTTCTGCGTCAAGTGACCGGCGTAACCCACGGCGCATGCAACGCGCGTAGCTGTGCATTTATACTTCTGCGCGCTGTTTCTGTTGGTCTGCATTAACACTTCCGAAACGCTAGTTGGCAGTGAGGTGTAAATGTTCCTCTGTGTCGAGTTTCTTCGCTGCTGCTTTGCTTTTCCTGAACACTTCCTGGTTGTACAAGTGGCTCAAACTCGCTCATTTTGAGGCAGGAACCGGCGGACGTGCAACAACTTTAACTATGAGGTAAACACAAAACAAAACTTTCCATCCGGAGCTCCTTCACGGGACTCCACACTTGTAAACAATCGCTCGCGCCATTCGCGCGGCTCTCGGGCCCGCCCAGACTCGTCAGCGCTACCAAGCCGACCAATCACAGAGCTTACGCTACGCGTCGTTGTGACGTGTAGTTACATTTTTTGAGAGGTGCACGTCAGTGACGGCGACGGCCACGGCGAAGGGCTATGCGTCAGCGGCGTAGCATACGCCGGCGTTTGACGCAGAAGTATAAATCAGCCTTTAACTCCTGCAGCACGAGGACTTTATGATTGTTTATGAGCGTTAAAAGTGGCGGATCTGTTCGGTTAAATATCTGACTCTGTGTCACTGCATCCCTAAGGACTAAGCGATATAACTAGAGAAATCTCCACTGTGCTGAGCGAGAGTGCTTACTGAACAGCGCAGCATCGATGACGTAAGCGTGCCCAGGCCCGATTGTAATGTGAATGCAGGCCGTCGAGGGAGACGGGAGGGGGGACAAGCGTGCATTGGTCCGGTTCAAGGCAACTGTACATAGTGTGAGTATGGCCTAAAATGTCAGGACACCTCAATGTTGATAGTGACGTCCAACTGAAACTGAATATTAAGTAGGAGGCGGGGCTTTTTGCATCATTCCCTCATAATAAATTAAAGGTAAGAGGGGTGTGGATTAGACTACAGTTGCTGAAGCATCAAACTGATGTCATCAGAGAAGGACTGTCTCTCCAAACACAGAAGCAGATGCTCAGACTGATTGAAGATGACCAAAACAAACTTTTTTTTCAGTGGATTAAAGTGCACAGATTAATTTTTCAGTTAAAGAATATCAATGTGAGCTAGCAAAATAAATAAACGTTGTAAATTTAGCTGGGCGAGGCAGTGGCGCAGTAGGTAGTGCTATCGCCTCACAGCAAGAAGGTCACTGGGTTCGAACCTCGGCTCAGTTGGCGTTTCTGTGTAGAGTTTGCATGTTCTCCCTGTATTCTGGTGCTCCGGTTTCCCCCACAGTCCAAAGACATGTGGTACAGGTGAATTGGGTAGGCTAAATTGTCCGTAGTGTGTGTGTGAATGTGTGTGTGGATGTTTCCCAGAGATGGGTTGTGGCTGGAAGAGCATCTGCTGTGTAAAAACTTGCTGGATAAGTTGGCGGTTCATTCCACTGTGGCGACCCCGGATTAAAAAAGGGACTAAGCGGACAAGAAAATGAATCAATGAATGAAAATTTAGCTTTAAAGTGTCCTTATTTCCTGATTGAGTGATGTGTTCTGTTGCAGAGTTTTTATGCGCATGGCTCAGAGGTACATTTTAGGGATTGTTTAAACCACTAAACCTAAATCAAATTACTGAAAGTAACAGTGAGACACAAAATAACCAGCAAAACAGAGATGCGCAGCTTGAATAAAGTCACTCTCTTGGAGGTCGCATGTGTGTGTTTTTGTGTGTGGTTAATGTTGCTGGAGGCAGCTGTCTTTAGTCACCCAGATATAACCAACAGGAACAAACAGGACCAAAACAAACTGTCCCACAAATGGGCTTCGTAAGGTCATTGACCCCAGGGTCTGGATGATTTACCTCGCTTTAAAGAAGATGGTCTCAGACAGGCGGAAAGAGTTCACAAACGCATCTTTCCTTTGTGTACAATCCTATAGGCTCTGGAGCTTTTAACGCATACAATGGTAATTACCCCTCTGAAACAGTATCTTTCAACTAATGCATTGTTTGAGTGCAATGTACTGATAAGAGACCGTTGTTTTAAAATGAAGTTAGAAGTCTTTACATTTCAGCAAGGATGGTTTTGCAGTAAATCAAGTGGGGTTTTTTTGGGTAGCATCCAAGAACATCCAATTCAGTGCATGTTGAAATGCTCCTCACACGTGTTTTTGCACATAAGGTGATGTTTGCTTTGAGAAGGCAGTGGGGTTACTGGAGTTCACAAACACAAGATTGTTTCTCTGGGTCAATACACCCCCCAAAAAACCAAACACAGTAAGTAAAACAACATTACACAAGCAAAATATAGACCAACTATTCCAAGTTTTTGATTTTGAAACAATGAAGCAGCAAATGTGAATGTAAACATATTTTTCAATTATATTATACTACACTCACTGGCCACTTTATAGGTACTGGGTTGGAGCCCCTTTTGCCTTTAGAACTGTCTTAATCCTTCGTGGCGTAGATTCAACAAGGTACTGAAAATATTCCTCAGAGATTTTGGTCCATATTGATATGATAGCATCACATTGCTGTAGATTTGTCTGCTGCACATCCATGATGTGAACTTCCCGTTCCACCACATCCAAAAGTTGCTCTATTGCAATAATATCTGGTGATTGTGGAGGCCATTTGAGTACAGTGTCATGTACAAGAAATCTGTCTGAAATGATTCACACTTTATGATATGGCATGTTATCCTGCTGGAAGTAGCCATCAGACGATGGGTACTCTGTGGTCTTAAAGTAATGGACATGGTCAGCAACAATACTCGGGTAGGTTGTGGCGTTGACACGATGCTCAATTGGTACTAATGGGCGCAACGTGTGCCATAATATCCCCCAAATCATTCTCTGTAAACCCTAGAGATGGTTGTGCATGAAAATCCCATAAGATCAGCAGTTTCTGAAATACTCAGACTAGCCAACAAAAAGAGAGGGTTCAAAGTCACTTAAATCTACTTTCTTCCCCATTCTGATGCTCGATTAGATCTGCAGCAGATCGTCTTGACCATGTATACATACCTAAATGCATTGAGTTGCTGCCATGTGATTGTCTGATTAGAAATGTATAATATAATATAATATAATATAATATAATATAATATAATATAATATAATATAATATAATATAATATAATATGATATAAATATATATATATATATATATATATATATATATATATATATATATATATATATATATATATATATATATATATATATATATTTATTTATTTATTTAAAAATTAAAATTAAGTTAAAAATAATGTATGTATGTATATATATATATATATATATATATATATATATATATATATATATATATATATATATATATATATATATATGTTTGTATGTATGTATGTATGTATATATACATAAATGATTAACCTATAAATAATATACACTGTATATTATATATATATATATATATATATATATATATATATATATATATATATATATATATATATATATATAATATACAGTGTATATTATTTATAGGTTAATCATTTATAAATATAAAAAGTATTTTTAAGAATTAAATATAAAAATTCCTAATATATTACAGCAAATTGTAGAATATTTAAACATTTCAGGTATTATGGTCAAAGGGCAAAACTACAGTAACATATACCATAGCTATCTAGTGTTGACCAAAAATATATATAATACATATTTAAAAAACATCACATAAAGACATGCAACAGACCAGTGATATCCTAAAATATTATTGCCCCTCTTAAATTCCCCAAAATAGCCTTATAAACAAATAAAAATGAATCCTACCTCCGTTTGTTCTGGGAGGCCATTTGTTCCCTTTTCAATGTTGTCACGAAATGAAATCATATAAACTTTGTACACATTTTGTGCAAGCATTTTTCACCAGCTTATTCCCTTATTTCCCTCCCAAATACCTTTGTAGGTCCTTTCACAATAGCAGAATACTTACAGCGGTGTGGAAATGCAGGCTGGATCACTCAAGACACAAGAATCTCTCTGATATTTTCTTGAAGTCTTCAGTGAAAGTTACAATCCTCTCTGTATTCCTTTTTCTTTAGGAATGGGTTCACATTCCCGCTTTATAGGCAGTCAGAATTTATAAGGGTGTTTCTCTACGCCTCCTGTCATATGACCCTGCGGCAACAATTCAATTATGTGCAATAAAAAAAGAGAGAAAAATTTAGATTAAATTATGCAACACAGAATTGTGAAATCAGCTTCATTGCCCAAAACCTCCATAGTTGCTTTTATTTCCAACAGTTTTCATTATTTCTAGCTAACACTGTGGACGAGAAACCTCAGAGAGTCTCCAGCTCTTTAATTTTTGTAGACTAAACCTTAAATTAGATTCCCAGAAGGCCATTTTACAAGGTCTTCACGGAATCACATGATGCATGAAATGAGTTCAACTTAAAACCACAGGGAACCAAAAGGTGGAGCTCAGAGTGTTATTAAATGCTGCTGGTCACCAATTACAGGGCGAGCACTTTTCAAACTTTCTCTATTTGGGGGTTATATTTAATTGTGTTTAAAAAAAGGGGGGGCGAGGAAATGCGTCACGTGGTCTTTGTACCAGCGGATCAGTAGCACAAGTTTAGACACAACACCAATGGAGACTATGTCATTAGTTTTCCTCCCATACAGCGGAGGCCTTGAAATAGACTATCAGCCACTGATAAACCACCCAACGATAATCTCAATCACCTATTTTTCATTTAGGAACATAAAGAGCTCAGAATACAGTGCATCTGGAAAATATTGATAGCGCTTCACTTTTTCCACTTTTGTTTATGTTACAGGCTTTTTCCAAAATGGATTCAATTCAATTATTTCCTCAACATTCTGCACACAATACCCCATAATGACAATGAGAAGAAATAGTTTTTTTAAATTGTTGCAAATTTATTAAAAATAAAAACCTTAAAAAAATCACATGTACATCAGTATTCATAGACTTGGCGTGAAGCTCTAAATTGAGCTCAGGTCCATTCTGCTTCCACTGATCATTCTTGAGATGTTTCAGCAGCTTCATTGGAGTTCACCTGTGGTCAATTCAGTTGATTGGACATGATTTCAAAAGGCATACACCTGTCTATATACAATCCCAGGGTTGACAGTGCATGTCAAAGCACAAACCAAGCATGAAGACAAAGGGACTGTCTGTAGACCTCCGAGACAGGATTTTCTCGAGACACAAGGCTGGGGAAGCTTACAGAAACATTTCTGCTGCTCTGAAAGTTTCAATGAGCACAGCTGCCTCCATCACCCGTAAGTGGAAGATGTTCAACCACCAGGACTCTTCCTAGAGCTGGCCGGCCATCTAAACTGAGTGATCGGGGGAGAAGGGTCTTAGTCAGGGAGGTGATCAATAACCCGATGGTCACTCTGTCTGAGCTCAGCATTCTTCAGTGGAAAGAGGTGAACCTTACAGAAGGACAACCATCTGTGCAGCAATCCACCAATCAGGCCTGTATGGTAGCGACGAAAGCTGCTCCCCGCCTGGAATTTGCCAAAAGGCATCTGAAGGACTCTCAGACCTCGAGAAACAAAATTCTCTGGTCTGATGAGACAAAAATTGAACTCTTTGGAGTGAATGCCAGGCGTTACGTTTGGTGAAAACCAGGCACCGCTCATCACCAGGTTAATACCATCCCTACAGTGAAGCATGGTGGTGGCAGCATCATGCTGTGGGGATGTGTTTCAGCAGCAGGAACTGGAAGACTAGTCAGGATAGAGGGAAAGATGAATGCAGCAATGTACAGAGACATCCTGAATGAAAACCTGCTTCAGAGTGCTCTTGACCTCAGACTGGCAATGGTTCATTTTGCAGCAGGACAATGACCCAAAGCACACTGCCAAAATATCAATGGAGTGGCTTCACAACAACTCGGTGAATGTCCTTGAGTGGCCCAGCCAGAGCCCAGACCTAAATCCTATTTAACATCCCTGGAAAAATCTGAAAATGACTGGACAACGTCACTTCCCATTCCAACCTAATAGAGCTTGATATACTGCAAAGTGGAATGGGCAAAAACTCCCAAAGGCAGGTGTGCCAAGCTTGTGGCATCATATTCAAAAAGACTTGAGGCTGTAATCGCTGCCAAAGGTGCATCAACAAAGTATTGAGCAAAGGCTGTGAATACTGATGTACATGTGATTTCTCAGGTTTTTTATTTTCAATAAACATGCAACAATTTCAAAAACTCTTCTTTCTCATTGTCATTATGGAGGATTGTGTGTAGAATGTTGAGGAAATAAATGAGTTTAATCCATTTTGGAATAAGGCTGTAACATAAACAAATGTAGAAAAAGTGAAGCGCTACGAATACTTTCCAGGTGCACTGCAGAAACATAAAAGCTTTATTAACATTTTATTTTTTGTCTTTCGTTATGATAGCAGTACATACTATTTTACTGGTTATTTTGCAAGGGACTAAACTGCAGTTTAAAGGTTTAACTATAAGTCTTTGGTATCGTTCTGTAGACAATCAAAAAAGGGGATTAATATTATTAACCTTAGACAAAAGTCTTGTCACTGAACAGAAATAATGTCCAGTAGAGAATATAAAGTCATGCTGCAGTGGAAACAATTAATATTGTGTCTGACTCCATCATGAGCTTGGAGGACTGCATCCATACATCTCTGCAATGACTCAAATCATTTATTAATAAAGTCATCTGGAATGGCAAAGAAAGCGTTCCTGCAGGACTCCCAGTGTTCATCAAGATTATTTGGTTTCATCTTCAATGCCTCCTCCTTTATCTTACCCCGGACATGCTCAATAATGTTCATTACTGACGACTGGGCTGGCCAATCCTGGTGAACCTTCTTTGCTTTCAGGAACTTTGACGTGGATGCTGAAGTATGAGGAGCGCTATCCTGCAGAATAATTTGCCCTCTCCAGTGGTTTGTAATGTAATGGGCAGCACAAATGTCTTGATACTCAGCCGATCTCTCTTACGCCCCCATACGGAATGTAACCCCAAACCATGATTTTTCCTTCACCAAACTTGACTGATTTCTATGAGAATCTTGGGTCCATGCGGGTTCCAATAAATGCAAAAACTGCACAAGACTTGTCCAGTTTATAGGGCAAATGATGCAAAAATATAGGAAATGGGCAGATTTTGAACTGTGGAATAGATAAATATAGTTCAAAACCCGTAATGATGCATGATATGCAGAAATGGAATAGAGTTCATAAGCAAGGACTTACAAAAAAGACATTTACAGGTTTTATTTGTGGATTACGAATGACACAGTGAGGATTACAGTTTCATTTATTACTTTTTGTAAGCAATAAAATTCATATTTTTCCGTGTGAATATACTGTTTAGTATTTATTGACTGTAAATCAAGTACATCAGTAATTGATCAAGTAAATCAATTAGTGTTTTTAATTATCGTTTTTATTTTCTCAAAAGGTTTTACACTTACATCAAGTATACATGTTAGAGATCACACATCTGAATACACTCACAAATGTAAACACAAATTCTGTACATCCACTTATTCTTTCCGCAGTATATGCTTTCCTATGTGCGCATGTAGATTTGTTATACATGATAATAAAAAAATAATAATTTAAATAAATACAATTAAATAAGAGATTTTTTAAAAATGTAAAAATAAGTAAATAAGCCAGTAAAATAGGATTTACACATCAGCAACAAAACTATATAGGGTGTGATCCTTCCAATTTTAGGTTATCAGAAAAGTTCAGGTCTATGGGACGTAGATGGTCTCTTTTTCACAGAATGAATTAAATTGTTCCATTTTCTGATTTACAAATGCAGTAATTTGTTCCATTTGATAAATTTCCATTGTAGTTCCCATCCACGCATTTAGGGTAGGACTTTCATATGACAACCATTTTTGGTAATGCTCTTTTTTGGCATCCACCAGCAAAATATTCATTGGATATTTATCCCTTTTTAACCATTCCTCAGTTTTACAGTCAAAGGGTCTCACAAAGTATCACAATATATTGTATATGGCATTGTTTTTCTTTCCAGTATTTTTAAATAACTGAGCAGTCCCAGAAAATGTGATCGAATTTATGATTTTTAAGTATGTGTTAGAGTAAATCTTCATTTACTTTTATTTGCAAACTTTTTTCATGGGAAATATACCTATAAATGTTATATTTTATATAATTTTATTTTTATGATTGGGTTTTATTAGCCAAAAATGATTTTGCCACTGCCAAATAAATAAACAATTTAAATAAAACTATTAAATAGTGTTTAGATTTTTTAATATAAAATCAAGAAAACAATATATATATAAACTTTAAAATATAAAAGGAATTGATTTAGAAATGGTTGAAGTAATTCAAATGAATGTGTAAAGCACTATTATATTTATAACAGTACATTAAATTCAGCAACAGCCAAACAGAAATAGGCCTATATATTAAAAACAAAAGACACGAGGTTAAAAACATATACTGACATATTAAAAATATATATAAAAACATTTTCAGGAGAAAAATCAAGAACATTCAAAATAACATTTTCCTATAAATGAACAAACTCCGTTATTTCATTTTACAGATTGAAATTCTGCCTCTCTACAAATGGCGGCGCGGGTTTGACGGCTTCCACTGCGGATAGCAACTAAACCCGCGCCTGCGCATTAACCGCGTCCGAGTGCCCGATACAAGATGGCGGAGTCGGTGGGGAGGGAGAGGCGGAGGCGGGTCCGAACCGAATAGCGCAAAGCCTATTGAGGACTCCAAACAAACCTCTCCAAGGTAAGGGATTCAGCCATTGAAGAGCAGCGCTAGACCTGTAGGCGTGTGGCGGAATGCACGGGGCACACAACTGTCCCAGCGGTTGCTGCAAACGTGCCGAATGCACGAAATAAACAGACATTATAATGCGCAGTGAGCGCGGCGACACCATACTAGAGCGCGCGCCATCTTGTCGACCGTTTCCACGAAGAAAAATGCGCGCCTAAAATTTGTGGCTGAAACAGTCGAAGATTGACTGGGTTTAAACTCAATAAATGAGCACTTTGACACACTAGGGTGATGGCCATGTCTGTCCTGGTCCTTTCTGTGCCCAAATGAAGCCAGAAGCTCCGCCATTTGGTGTTATTTTACCCGCTCTCGCAGCACATCGGACGTGCGCTGCCGTAGCTCTTTGTTGGCTGTTTTTCTCCTCCTCCTTCGGGTTTGTTTTCGGGCGGCTCGATCTGGGGTGGGCGGCGTAGAAGCGCATGCGTGTCCTTCTTTCGCTCATTTGCGCTCTTATTAACCGAGATATACGCAGTAAACACATTTGTCTTGAGCAGATTCATGATGTATACTTCGATAACTAGCTTTTGTAAACACAACATCAATGGTGATTATGTGGTACAGTCGTTTTACTTCGTGATGCCATCTCTACTGTAGTGTTCGCATCATAATAACGTACTTTTTATATTGGGAAACTGTTATATGTGTTTGATTTATTACCAAGATAAAGGCAGTAAATAGATTTGTCTTGAGCAGATACACGATGTATGCTTCGATAGCTAGCTTTAGTAAACATAACATCAATGGTGATTATGTGGTAACGTTCAGTTTTGCTAGCCCATGCCATCTCTACTGAAGTGTTCGCGCTGTATTACTTTTGTAGTGATTATTTGTGGGAATTTGTTTTGTTTTCTGACACATCGGTAAATTACTTGATATTATTATTTAAACCGACGAAAACTCTGGGCAGACCAATACATAATGCAATCCCTTTACATTTACTGAGGTAGGCTAATACCATGGTAAACCTAGAAGATGCTCATATTTTATATGCAAAAATGTAAATACTGGGTTCTTGTGCACAAGTTTGAGTAAAATGTTAATATTTTATGTTAGCTTGTTAGCACTGATATATTAAAATTGAGTTGTTTTTTTTTTCAGAAAATGTCTGTTGTTTTCATTTGTTGTCATTGAAAATCTGGCTTATTTTGTCCAATATTGATTTCTTAACTCTTCTGAAATTATATAATTGTAATTTTTTTCAATTTGAAATTTTAAAGAGGTTATCAGACCTTAAGAATAAAGCAGACATTTAAATTTTGCTTTCACTCATACCTAGAAAATCTGGTACATCCTGAAAAACTGGTATAAAGTGTGTAATTTCTACATGTTCATGTTTCTGTATGAATACTACTGTTCCAGTTCCTAGCAACATCAATTTATTTACTTTTACGTATGTTGTGTAGGATTGCCAAGCAGTTTATGAATGATGTTTTTGTGTTTTTAGTTATTTCTAGGTTTTATGAAGCACTTTTGTGCTCTGTTAGTAAATGTGCAGCTAATGTGTTTCACTTTCATTACTATGTTTAAGTTTCATTATTATCATCATAAGTTTTCCTTTCACTTTCACCTAAGCAGAATAAAATACATCACTCACCCTAGATTATTTTCTCCATTCACATGTTTTTTCTCTTCTGGTTCTTAATATTTGTGTGACCACAGCTAAATTATTCTTCTGTAATTTATCAAACTTGATCTGACTTGTACTGTTTCTATTTGGTGCAGTCATGTCTGTTTTATCAAACGCTTTTGGGGTCTGTTTGTAAATGTATTAAAATGAGATCCAAAGTTTCACTTTCATTTTTATGATTGTTTCATTCATTTCCTTTGAGTTCGAGAACACAAGATACATATTTCTGTCATGCTGTAATAAAGGACAGTTAAAAAATATTCTTCCATTCATGGCGAACTTTCAAAAAACTCTTTTCTTACCTAACAGTGTAAAATATTTGTGTGACCAGAGCTAAATCATCCCTTCTTGATTAATAAAGTTGAATTAAACCAACTTGTACTGTATTTTATTATTGTTTCTTTTTTTTTTTTTTTTGAGGGGTCAAGCAACCCAAATATGTTAAAATCATATCAGTAACTTTTATTTGACTTTTTTGCCCTGTTTACTCTGACTGCTAGTTTGCATATACATGGAGTTTCTCAGACCATAAACACAACATTTAGAGTTAATATAACCTTGGTAAACTGTACTATCATTTAGTCAAAACTAGAGCTGTACGATAATATATGCAACTTATTTGTGCATTAAATTTTTAACCACATTTGACCAATCGGATGAGGTCGTACCTTATTTTATATATATATATATATATATATATATATATATATATATATATATATATATATATATATATATATATATAACCCAGCCTTCCTATTATGTGCTGTTCTGCTATTGGCTAGAGTGTCCCAAAGGTAAACATTGCGTTGGAAGTAAATAGTAATGGTAGAAGCCGAGACAAGAAAGGAAAATCACAACAGCCAATAAGAATAAAAATATCTGCTGCAGTTTGCTTTCAGTAATAGTGTTTTAAAGTTTAAATGTTTGCACCTTGACAGTTGTTTTTAGCTGGAATTGGATTAAATGAAATCTATTTCTTGTTTTTTAAAGGCTGAACAATACAAAAATAAACTGACAATGCGATATTTAGTTTTTCTGTGATGTACATTGCGATATGAATACAATTTCAACAGGTGTTTGATTAACTGAATTTTGAAAGAACTCGTGATTTAGGGGAGTGTACCTGCATAAAATATAGTAAACAAATTAGTTACAAGCATAGGTAAATGCAACTGCGCAAAATATACAAATAAAAAATAGTGCTTTAGGATCTTCTATGAAGTCTAAAAAATACTCGTGCACATAAATTGAATAATTTAATGTAAAACAGCAATGAATAATCTTGACAATAAACTTATACAAATAATATTCTAGCCACAATAGTTATCATTTATTGTGCCTGAATGGTTTAAATTTGCTTAACAGTACAGTAAAAAAGTAAACTTGGCAATAGGTCCACAATATTCTGAACTCTAGTGCGTGGTCAACTATAATCCCAACTGGACATTGCTGATTCTGCGATGCGAATATTGCACATTTGCATTGTGCTTGCACTACTTACTAAAGTAAACTGCTAATTGTTGGTTTATTTACAGTGTATGATAGTGAAAACCAACAATAATCCAGCAAAGTAACAAAATTAACCCTAACCAAAAGCAAAAGAACAAATAAACAGCAAATTCTGCTAACAAATATAGATATATAAAAATGTGTGTGTGTGTGTGTGTGTGTGTGTGTGTGTGTGTGTGTGTGTGTGTGTGGTTTTTTTAAACTGAGGTGACGTGAAAAAATTGTTGATCCATTTAAGCTGAAGTGAGAAACTGCAATCTTTATATGTTTATATCAGGTTTTTATATCTTAAACGCAAATTTTGTCACTGCTTTGAGGCACACTAGCTTATAGATAGTTAAAGTCAGAATTATTAGCCCCCCTTTCAGTTTTTTTTCTTTTTTAAATATTTAGCAAATGATGTTTAACAGAGCAAAGACATTTTCACAGTATGTCTGACAATATTTTTTCTTCTAGAGTAAGTCTATTTGTTTTATTTTGGCTAGAATAAAAGCAGTTTGATTTTTTTTTTTTTTTTTAAAGCCATTTTAAGGACAAAATTATTATCCTCTTTAGGCAATTTTTTGACTGTACAGAACAACCCATCATTATAAAATAACTTGCCTAATCACCCTAACCTGCCTAGTTAACCTAATTAGCCTAGTTAAGCCTTTAAATGTCACTTTAAGCTGTTCAAAAGTGTCTTGAAAAATATCTAGTCAAACATAGATAGATCTTTTTTTTAAAATGATCCATGTTATTTACTGTCATCATTAGAAATGAGTTATTAAAACTTATGTTAAGAAATGTGTTGAAGAAATCTTCACTCTATTAAACAGAAATAAAAAAAATAAATAAATAAACAGAGAGGCTAATAATTCTGACTTCGTGTGTGTGTGTGTGTGTGTGTGTGTGTGTATATGTGTATGTATTTATATATATATATATATATATATATATATATATATATATATATATATATATATATATATATATATATATATATATATAATTTTTTTTTTTTTTAACACGCACACACACACACACACACACACACATATAAAAAAAAAAACTACACTTAAGTGTACACAGACTAGTCACGAGGTCTCTCATGGTACCACAGTAGCTCACTCGTTCACCAGGTTAACTTCTTGAGGGAGATCTTAAATCACAAAGAATATTATTGCTATATTAAACAACATCACATATTTTCCTAGTATCAAGAAGGCATTTGAAAAGGAAACGCATGTGCCCTTATATGTATATGGTGTTTTTGTATATTTTTTATTTGCGTTTTGTTCTCTTAATTTGTACTAAAATTGTTTGTATTTATTGTACATCTACATTCCTTTTGTAGTGTTTGTTGTTATTTGTATGCACCCAGAGTCTTAGACAGGTGTGGGCAAACTTGATCCTTGAGGGCCAGTGTCCTGCATAGTTTAGCTCCAACCCTATTCAAACAGACCTCCCTAGAGTTCAAGTGATCTTGAAGACACTGATTGGTTTGTTCAGGTGTGTTTGACTAGTGTTACAACAAAACTCTGCAGGAACACCGGCCCTCGAGGATCAAGTTTGCCCATCCCTGGTTTAGGAGTACTGTAATTTCAATTCTCTGTACTTATATACAGTGGCAGATTTGACAATAAAACTGACTTTGACTTCTGCTTCAGACAGGACAAATGAGGAGCTATGACGAGTGAAAACCACACAACAATTAAGGCAGACTCGGCATTGGTCATGTCGCCCACCGGGTCCACGTCACAGGCGGCTCCGTTCTCACCCTCGACCAGCAAACCCATCCAAGAGCTGCCAGGTCTGTGAAAAATGATCAGTGGGATCTTTATTTCGTCATTTGGTCTGCACTGGTCTGAATTTTAGTTTCGCTTCCAGATGAGCTGATCCAGGCTGGATGGTCAAAATGTTGGAGTAAAAGGGAGAACCGGCCGTATTACTTCAATCGATTCACTAACCAGTCGCTGTGGGAGATGCCTGTCCTGGGACAGCATGATGTCATTGTAAGTACAGGCGACAATTATAATTTAATCATGCAAACGCGATTAAAGTCTGTGAAATCAGAACTTACAATGTTGAGTTTGCTAGAGCACATTGTTATTCTTTTGGTGAACAATTAATTATTCTGTTTTGTTAATCTTCAATCTAATTTTGAGCATTTGCTTGTACGTTTTGGAGTGGCGGTCCTCCTCTGATGTCAGTTTGACACTTCAGCTAGTATTTTCCTAGCCACGCCCCTCTTACTGTTAATTTGATATGAAGAAATGATACACTAAAAGCAAGCCCCTCCCCCTACTCAATATTCAGTTTCAGTCAGAAGTACATCAACATGCTGAAATAAATGTCTCAGCAGCTTTTGCTTCACAGAGACTTTAAGCAAAGCTGTAAATATCATGCACATTATATCACAGACTTATGTGCTTTTACCATTTTTATTATAAAAAAATATCTTTATTCTTTATTTCAGTTTGAAGAATCTTATTTAATTTCAATTGCTTTGTTTTCTGGTTGTTTGTATTGATGTAACTTGATTTACTGCCCTTTGTTTTGCCATCAAGCCTTCAATGCTGACTTGGCATTAAAATAAACAGTTAAAGGGATAGTTCACTCTAATTAAAATTTACTTACCCTTAAGTGTTTCCAAATCTTTGAGTTTTTTTTTTTATTCTGTTGAACACTAAAGAAAATATTTTGAAGAATGCTGAAAACCTGCAACCACTGGCTAATACTATGGAAGTCAATGGTTAAAGCTTTCTAGCACGCTTGTATAAGAATATCTTCTTTTGTGTTGAACAGAAGAAAGAAACTCAGAACTGTCTATTTAGCATAATTATTTATTAATTTAGTTTCTTAATTATTAGTTGTATTTGGAAAAAAATATGTATATAGTTTTTTTATTTCATGTTTTTTTTATTACTAAAATAAGTTTTTACTAGTTTTTCATGAACAGTAACAACACTCCTGTGTTTGTTTTTTATTTTTTCAGTCAGATCCTCTGGGATTGAATGCAGCTCCAGCCTCTGGTGAGGCGAATGCTGATGCAGGTCTGGGAAACGGGCAGCGTAAAAGACATCCATCAGAGGATGCTTCTCAAGCAGGCCCTAACAGCTTCAAGAGGCCAAAGGTCAGTGTCCTTCAAAATAGCAGAAATAAATATGAAGTACCATGCCTATTTGATATTAAACCCTTGTACTGTTGGTGATGTTTTCATCCAATCTTACATCTTAATTTGGCCACAACTTTCTCTGTGTTTTAAGCAAATGGAATGATTTTAGGTGACCAACCTTATTTTGACACGTATTTTGGAAAAATGCTTCGAAGATTAAAAAACTGGGCGAATTTACAATTCTTTCATTATGTTGGTGGCTGTTTTCAATAAATGTCTTTATAATGGAAGTGAATGGGGCAAAAACAACCCCAAACATAACGAAAGGGTAGTTGATTTAAGGGTTAAAAGAACATAGTGTAGTGAACAATGTTTCTGAATTCGTTTTGATTTCAGGTTGAGATTCCAGCCACTCCAACAACTCCCACTGTCCCCATTTCTCCCAGTACACCAGGAGTAAAACCTTGGGTTAACACCACCACAGATGAGAAACAAGGCCAGGCCAGTACGCCTGCACCTGCACCGTACCGGCCCTCTGTGTGAGTATAGACTCCGTTTGTTCCTATACAGTGGGTTACATCCCACGTAGCACTTGATTAGGTTGCATTCCTGATTCTAGACTTTTTTTTAAAGACATGTTAAAGTTGTTGTCATTTCTATCAGACTCTGTTCGATAATAGAGTGTCTGAGAAAAACAGTGTTGTAGTTCACTGTCTACAGTTAAATAAGATGGTTTCATCCTTAAGTTACACAATGTTGATGCTATTTTGTAAGACTAATGTGCAAAAAGAAATGATAAACATAATTTCACAGTTTTGTTTTCAATTAGTGAGTCAGGATATTACTAACACATTAGCAGTGAATTACTGGTACAAGCTATATATATATATATATATATATATATATATATATATATATATATTTATTTATATTTATATATATATATATATATATATATATATATATTGTTAATCCTTTATTCTATCAGTAGCCGCAGTTTCTATGTTTCGTTAATAGTTCAGTTTTGGTATTGTGTATCCCGCTTTTTTCATAGTTTTTGGATTACAGTGGTCCCTTCTTATTTGCAAGAGTTACGTTTCTAAAAATAATCAATACGTGAAATTCACAAAGTAGTCTGATTTGTTTTTTTGCAGAGATGTGTAATAGGGTATATGTTTCTTCTAGTGTTTCTTCCCATACTGATAAACTTCCGGTGAACGGTTAATGTGAATTTTTTCCATTATATACGGTTCCTTTTACAGCATTGATGTTGTAATGTCATTAAAATAGAATTAGTTAAATAGACTTGTCAGGCCAATCAGGATATATGCTGGAGTAAAATAAATGTTCATATTTTAAAGACATGGTGGGGAAAATGTCATTTAATGCAGTGCTTCTTGTACAATCTGATATTAGAAATCACTCAGCCAGTGGAGATCGCTGATTTTTTTAAAGAAAACAGACCTTAAACGCACCGATTTTACAATGGTATACAGTTCACCGGAAACATTTTACCCAGGTTACTGTCAAATTAAAAGTCCTTTAGCATACTTCCGCATATGCCCTATTAGCTGCCCTTACCATGAAAAATATTTTGTTAAAAAGTGTGAAAGTTCGAACACCATTAGACAAACAGGACAGTACTGTGATGCACATTTTTAAAAAGGTACCACCAAGAAGAATCTTAAATTATTTATCAAAAATTGAACTAAAAAAATCTGAAAATCATGTTTAACTTTGAATATATTTTTATGTGAATTTTATTTATTTATATCCTATATATTTGTCTAAGTAACTTTTTATTGTAATACGAAATTGTTTTTATCATGTAATATATATTTTTTTAATTTTAATGTTTGTTTTTTTTTAATTATATGTTCCATTTTGCCATGTAATAGCCATAAGTTGCTCACGTGGCCATAAATACATAATAAAATTATGCAAAGCGTGCAGAAAGTCTTTAAATTCGTCAGTAACCTGGGTCAAACACTTCCAATGAACTGTGTGCAGTTACGAAATCGTCACGTTTAATATCTGTTTTCTTTAAAAAATTACGATTTCCACTGCGTAAATGATATACACTTTAAAGTGAGTCAAGAAGCACTGCATTAAATTACATTTTCCATGTCTTTAAAATATTTAAATTTATTTTACTTCAGTCTCTCTAATGGCATTTCTGTGCTAGCCTGCTGATCCTGACGGGCTTGCGTGTAAATGGCTTTTCATCTTGGTTTACGCTTCAACAACTAATTGAATGCTGAAATCTATTTAACTGATTATATTTTAATCACATTACAACATCGATGCTGTAAAAGGAACCGTATAAAATTGGAAAGTCACATTAACCCTTCACCTGAAGTTTATCGGTATGGGAAGAAATACTAGTTCTGCATATAACCTATTGCAGGGATGTCAAACTCAATTCAAAAATCCTGCTTCAACACACTTACTGCTAGGTTTCAAACAAAGACTCAATTAGATTGATCAGGTGTGTTTTAATTAGGGTTGGAACTAAACTGTGCGAGACTGCGGCCCTCCAGGAATTGGGTTTGACAGCCCTGCCCCATTGGGTCAGTTTAAAAAAGAAAGAAAGAATTATTGTCTCTCATTTGTGTAAATGTACAAGTCTGACGACCATGTGAACAGATGACTTATGGAGTCAATGCATAGAAACGTATAGAAAACAATCTGAATCTTCCGTTTTCAGTCCCACATGCATAGTAAGTTTAGTATGATGTTAAAAATAACTAAGGGAGGAAAATTATCATTGTTGTCTCACTAGAAAACATTGTGGCTTATCAAACACAGCCTGGTTCTTGCATATTAATCATGCCAGAGCAACATCAGGCTTGATGACATAGCAGCTCATCATGTCTGGATGCAGTGAAAAGTGTGACCTAAAGCACACGCAAATCTTGAAGGTTTGCCCCTTGAGTCATGCAAAAGGCTGTTTGGTGTTGTGATAGGCCTATTTTCACCAGGGGTTTACACTTGTGTGGATTTACATAAGAATGAGGAAACATTTGTGTCTGAGGCTCACTCTATGCCCTTGTGAACAGATGGCTTATCGAGTCATTGCATAGTAAGATATATAGAAAATAATCTGCATCTCCCGTCTTCAAAATAAGAGTCCTACAGATATATAGTAAGTAATATGAACTTAAAAATAACTAAGGGAGGAAAATGATCATTGTTGTCTCACTAGGAAACAGTGTGGCTTATCAAACGCAGCCTGGTAATTGCATATTAATCATCCCAGAGCAACATCAATCTGATCTTGGTGACACTGCAGCTCCAGATCATGTAAAAAGTGTGACCTAAAGCAAATGCAAATCTTGAGGGTGTGCCCCGTTAGTCATGCAAAAGGATGTTTTGTGTTGTGATAGGCCTATTCATCACCAGGGTTTTACACTTGTGTGGATTTACATTAGAATGAGGAAACGTTTGTGTCTGTGGCCCATTTCCATTAACTGATTTCTTGTTATTCGACTATGACTTGGTGTACTAGGTAGTTTTTATAAGGCACCTGTAAGCTCTGTAGCCATGACACAACTCTGTGCTATGACGTGTCTGAACTGGCCTTTATCTTTCAGAGTGTACTGGGACCTGGACATTCAGACCAACGCTGTGATTCGAGAGCGAGCCCCAGCGGACCACCTTCCTCCACATCCTGAGATCGAGTTGCAGAGAGCTCAACTCACCACCAAACTCCGGCAGCACTACCATGAGCTGTGCTCTCAGCGGGAGGGTATGTGCTCCGCATGCTGCTTTCACGATTTACCACTGTCGCTTCATTTTAGCGCTGTGATTTGTGGAGACACTGCAAAATTGACCTGTAATAGAGTGAAAGTTCAGGCCCATACTATGGAATAAAATCGCTGTTATAAATATTTTGTGCGTAAATAATATTCTCGCATCTGTAATTATAAAATCGTAAAGGAAAACGGAACATACTTGTAATTTTACGAGGGTATAATTCCAAAATCTGCGATTAGAACAGACACAGATACAACATTTTCTTGGTCTGTTTGTTTATGACTGATAAATTTACAATTGGTGTACTGTACAAACAGAAATACAGTCGGGCCGAGGATAGTGAGCAGAATGTAAGTTAACTTTACAGGTAGCGAGCGCAGAATTTCTCAGTGAATCACTTAACAGTGTTTAACTATAACATGACATCTGTTAATGTTTCTGTTTTATGTGAGTCCCACAGAAGCATAGAGACTCCCGGAACTTCCGGGAAACTTGGGATGTCTAAATATCACGTTTAATAACTATAGTTAGATGAGATCCAGCGGTACATATATATATATATATATATATATATATATATATATATATATATATATATATATATATATATATATATATATATATATATATATATATATATATATATATGGCACATCATTCATAAACACACACACATGTTAATTATTAGTAATTCTGTAATTTGTCTGGCTGTATTTAGGCATCGAGCCCCCACGGGAATCCTTCAACCGCTGGCTTCTGGAGAGGAAAGTAGTGGATAAAGGTCTGGATCCTCTCCTGCCCAGTGAATGTGACCCAGTCATCTCTCCGTCCATGTTTAGAGAGATCATGAATGATATCCCCATCAGGTAGTCTACCATCAAATGTTTAAATCAGTTACTTTATTAAAACAAGTTTTTGATCAAATATTCCAATATTGATTACATTTTTCCCCTTCGATTTTTAGGCTCTCTCGCATCAAATATAAAGAAGAGGCCAGAAAACTCCTGTTCAAATATGCAGAGGCGGCCAAGAAAATGATCGACTCCAGGTAAATGTTCTCATCGCTTTACTAGGCATGGGAAGATAAGGCATGGGACGTTTCTAGGTTTACTGCGGTTTGGAGTCAGGTTTTAAAACTGCAAAAATTTTCTGTTGTACTGTTCCTGCGGTATATGTACATTTTTAGTAGTTTTTTACAACAATTTTATTTAGTTTTTTAGAGCAACAATATATTAAATTATAGTCTTTTAGGGCAAGAAATCTGTCCCTTTTTTTTTTTTTGACCGATCGGGCCAGTGGTTCAGATTTTTACTTGCCTTGCCCAAGTTTTCACTGGCCCCACGAAAAATAAAGTTAATAGCTATTTCTTAGTCACATATTTTAAATAATGTGTCAAAAGCCAAACATAACTGTATATATACACTTTATTCAGCATAACTTTTTTAAATACAACTGACATTTAAAAAATTACAATTTTGATGTATCTAAATTTGTGTGTGTATTTATATATTATAAGCGAACATGTGCAAACGTTGGCTAGAATTATGCATTATAGGCTTAAATTATGTTGAGAAATAACAGATGAAGCGAGACTGTAGTCAGATCATCAAGCAGATCAATGTTGATATTTCTGTCGAGGTGTTGTGTAACAATATGACTAATACAACATAGTATAAGATAAAAAAGGGAAAAATTAGCAGATGGTATCTTCAGTCAATTTTCCTAACGGATAAACCGCACTCTGTAATGTTTCAGCATGTTTTCACTTTTGTATTCAGCATGAAATGCACATTTACCGGTAGGAATGACGTCCCGCCCTACTCTTATTTCTCTCTTCATATAGCCGTATATGACTATTACATATCCTTAATACACTGTGATATAGCCTGGTTTGTTAGTTCGTTGGATCGTTTTGCTTTCTCACTACAATCGATCCACTTTAGATCTGCTTCAATCTAGCCGAGACCACTTCATTCAGGCAATCTCAGACCGAGTGTTTTGTCGTGGATCTAATTGCGATTGCGGGATTCACATATGCCAAACCAACTGTGCTAACTGGGCAAACCATACAGGTTCCCAAACAAACATCTATGTGTGAAAGCACCCTGTATTTACACGTTATGGATTAAAAATCGTAGCCTAATTAAACTTTAGTGACAAGGCAGCACTGGCCCAATCAGGTCAGTAACGATCCTATCTCTGGTCCCAAGAGTCTCGCACACTGGCCCCAGGCCATCAGGCAGTCCTTATTGTCGTGCTCTGTGCTATCTTCATTAGTTTCAAGGATTTAGTTGAATTATTTAGCCTGTTTACAGTTCCAAAATATTTAAAATGTTTCTTAAAATAAAATATATTGTGGTCTAAAGGGGAAAAAGCTGTTGTAGATTACCCAGATATTAATAAAGAAGATATTTTACAGCAGTAATATCAATACTGTGAAACCGTGATATTTCTGTCCAAGGTTTTCATACTGTATCTTATTCTGGCCCATGCCTAACGCTTACTGTGGTTTTGGGTTGAACATGAGCATTGCGTTTGAAAGTCTATTTCACGTTCACACAGAAATGCAACTCCGGAGAGTCGAAAGGTGGTGAAGTGGAACGTAGAGGACACGATGAACTGGCTGAGACGAGACCATTCTGCCAGCAAGGAGGACTACATGGTACACTCTCAGTCTTTTAACTACATGCCAGACTACATTTTAAAAACGACATGGTACACTTTCAGTTTTAGGCTGAACTGCCTACATGGAACGCATTAGAAGATTAACACGTGTGATTTTTTTTTCCTCAGGATCGACTTGAGCATTTACGGAAGCAGTGCGGCCCTCATGTGGCATCGGTGGCAAAGGACTCTGTCGAAGGCATCTGTTCAAAAATCTATCACATTTCTGCAGAATATGTGCGCAGGATTCGACAAGCTCACCTCACTCTACTGAAAGAGTGCAACATTTCTGGTAGGAGGAATATAAATGGGAAGGATAATTATTTAGAATTTGTGTTTTCATAGGTCTCAAACTCAATTCCTGGAGGGCCGCAGCTCTGCACAGTTTTACTCCAACACTAATCAGACACACCTCGAATCAGAGACTACTCTTAAACACCTCTATTGGATCAGCTATGTTAGATTATTGTTGGAGCAAAACTGTGCAGAGCTGTGGCCCTCCAGGAATTGAGTGTGAAACTTATGTCTTAAAGCCTAAACAAATTGTAAACTTAAAAATAAAATAAAGTTTCTTAAATTTACTGAAGTATTGTGTTCTGGGTTTTAAATAATTTAAAAAAGCATCTTTTACACCTGTAGATTGATTGTTTTGTTCCGAAACGGGGATTTAAAATGTTACAGTGTTGCTTTTTTGTGCTTGGTGCGGTTCAATTTCACATGGCAAAGTTTCTAAACCGGCCAAAATTATTAAAACAAGTCACATGCAAGTAAACTCTCATCACATTGGTCAGAGTTTGGTGTATTTTCTGGGATTTCTCTCAGCTGCCGTACATTATTATTTGAATTTATGATGAAGAGAAACGTATTATAAGTGAAAAGGACCACTTTAATTTCGAATAGTGACATCCACAGACATAGTCATCACCAAATATAAATCAGAGGTAAGACTTTCTTATACAGAGATTCATTTCATTTGTTAAGGGTTATAATATATATCTATTCTGTATCAGAAGTCGCATTAACCAAAAAGTTATTGGTATTATTTTGGCATTATTTTTTTTAGTAGTACAGTTAGACTTTCATGTTCGACAGGAAATGCACTTTAATAAAACACTGTGATATAGACTGGTTTGTTGGATTGTATTGCTTTCTCACTTATGCTGCGTTCACACCAGACGTGGAAAGCGTGGATAAATCGCGCTATTCGCAAGTAAATAGCCGCGTGAACATTTGAGTTTACTCGCTTCTATCAAGTGTCAAACCCCGCTTCAATCGCGCGTCAAATCCGCTTCATTCATGCGTCAAATTCACTTAAGAACAGACGCGGATTCGCGTGATGGACAGGGCGTCTGTCTGCCTGGTGACTCTGGCTTCATAACTAAATGGCTAACATGGATTTTATTGAGAAAATATCTGTTTATGTGCTTTTATGAAGGCTGAAAAACAGCGTTGATATGTTTAGGGCTGTGTCTAAATCCAGTAGATCATTTCAGAGGTGCATCCAGCTCTGTGAGCTCAAACTCCTCCAGAAACTTAACCTGGCTGACGGAGGCTTTCAGCTGTGCTTCTGACTGAGCCAAGCCCAGTTTGATTACCTTTTTGTACGTCACAATCACGCCCTCATAAGAGCAAGCTCCTGATTGATTAATGTGGCGAAATGTCTGCTGAAGTGACATGAAGACTTGATGAAGACTTTCAAACTCAAGCAATTCACTCAAATGGCTCAATTCGTGCCGCGTCATTCGCGCAGATTGCACCACAGGATGTCTATTCGCGCGTTTGCATTGACTTAACATGTAAATCACTCGTGCTTGATGCGCGTTCGGCGACTGGTGTGAACGCAGCATTACAACCAAACCACAGAGTTTGTTTCATCCAAGCTGAGATTGCGATGTTCACATATGCCCAAATGAATCGAGCTAAGGAGACAAATGTGCCAGGTTCTGAAACAAACGTCTAGATGTTAAAGCTTCCTTAGTTTTCCTATAAACCCATGATGCTTGACTTACACCAGCAAGTTAAGTCAATGGCAAGTCATTGGACAATAGTGGCTATAATATAAGGCTAATAATATTGATCTTAGCAGTTTTTAGCAGCAATGTATATTATAATAATTATTATTATTATTATTTTTCATATTGTTTTATTATTGTTGATAATAATATGAAATTTATTTTAAAAATTACACATTTCAGAGAGGGGCTTGTTATGTGGTCTTTAACTGTACAGTATGTGCCATGTAATACACTCTGAATTCTTCTTCCTCTTCAAAGTGGACGGCACAGAGTCAGCGGAGGTCCAGGACCGCTTGGTTTATTGTTATCCTGTGAGACTGTCCATCCCAGCTCCTCCTCAAACTCGTGTTGAGCTGCACTTTGAGAACGACATCGCTTGTCTTCGGTTTAAAGGAGAAATGGTGAAGGTCAGCCGCGGTCATTTCAACAAACTGGTGCGTACACGCTGACAGTAACTTGTTCTAATGAATTGACAGTAATGTTGTTCAACCAAAATTATAATTTACTCAGCAGTTAATCCTCCTCAAGTGTTTCCAAACCTTTCTATTTTTTGATGAACACAAAAGAAGATATTTCGAAGAATGTTGGAAACCATTGACTTCCATAGTAGGAAAAACAAGTAGTATGGAAGTCAGTGGTTACAGTTTTTTAGCTTCCAAATACCTTCTTATGTGTTCAACAGAGGAAAGAAACTTGAGACTTTAGGAGCAGAAATATACACTGCCTTGGGTTACTTTGTAATTAGTTTCATCTCTTTCTCAGGAACTTCTCTATCGATACAGCTGTATTGACGACCCAAGGTTTGAAAAGTTCCTTTCACGCGTGTGGTGCCTTATCAAAAGATACCAGGTAGGATGCTAATTTACTAACAGTCTTTGGTGTTATTAATTTACTGTACTTTAAATGTAGTGTAATTGAATTATTTTTCTGCTTAAAGTAAGGGATTACTTAACATTGTTAAGTTCTGTTCATATGTTCAGCACTTCTGTGTAAATCAATTCAGAAAAGCAGAGGAACTGTATATTTGTTATATAAATGCATTTTACAGAATGATGACATTTTCACCTAAAGAAGGTTACATTTATCAAGATGCTTGAATATGGTTAAGAAAAAGTGAAGTTAGTGGGTAAAAATATGTAGTATAAAGTAAGAGAAGTAGACTTATTATGGGGGGGGGGGGGATTATGGATGGATAGATAGATAGATAGATAGTAATTCTGAAATTTTGCTTAATATACTGCTTTTGTCAAACAATAGCACATGCTAAAGAAACAATACAATGAGTAAAAGATTTGCCAATATACGACATGTACAAAACATGTTGACAATATGAATTTTTTATCATACATGTGATGTTTAACATTTTTAAAGTTCTATTAAATAAAAAATATTAGATAAAACTAGGATGTCCTGTTTTTCTAGTGTCCGTTGAGTATTGAGTCAAGAAGTTAAATTATTGAAAAAGTTATTTACTTTTCAGACAAAGTAATTGTAAAATAATTTTGAATGCAACATTATTAGTTAATTTTCCTTGGGCTTAGTCCCTTTATTTATCAGCGGTCGCCACAGCGGAATGAACTGCTAACTTATCCCGCACGTTTTACGCAGTGGATTAATTAATTTTGAGGTAATTAAAAAATATGTAGCTTATACTTGCATACTGTTCATATATTCAGCACTTCTGTGTAAATAGAAATGCCAACTGGCTCAGCTGGGACTGGGCTGCAACCAGCAACCTTCTTGCTGTGAGGTCATAGTGCTAACCACTGAGCCACCTTGTCGCTCCACAAACAATGCACATTTTACCAATATTTCAGAAAAGTCCACTGAGTATGACTTTTTAAAACGATTAAATGTATGTGAAATGTAAAGTACAGTATGGACTTTCATGGAGCTACATATTCTGGGGTATGAATTAAATATAATAGCGCTTTAAAAAGGCCTTGAAACCCAGAATGTTTTTGAAAAGTAACTTACCCAGCACTGTTTACCAGCATTCATGGCCATCAGGAGACCATGGGCAGTGTTAACTTGTGTCTTATTGTGAATCGCAGGTAATGTTTGGCTCTGGTGTGAACGAGGGGTCTGGTCTACAGGGGTCTCTTCCTGTTCCCGTCTTTGAGGCGCTCAATAAACAGTTCGGAGTGACGTTCGAGTGTTTCGCTTCTCCTCTAAACTGCTATTTTAAGCAGTTCTGCTCGGCTTTTCCAGACATTGATGGCTTCTTTGGCTCTCGAGGGTATGTAAACGTTCCAACATTTTTCAAATTATCTTCTTTTTTGTTCAACAGAAGAAAGAAATTCGAACAGGTTTGTGACAAGTGCAGGGAGAGTAAATGATGACATCATTGTTGATTTATTTTTTTGTGAACTGTCCCTTTAAAATGACGGTGACATTTTTTTATAGTGATTGTATAACTATGAACGTGTCTCAATCAGCTCCCTTGTTCAGTAGTCAGTGCATTCATTAGGGCACTAAAACATCATCAATGCAGACTATGCACCCTTAATAAAAGTTTGTTACAATATAAGCAGTTTCTAACACATCTCCTTTATTACTAGACCACCATGGCCTTTCACAACAACAACTTTAGAGGTGACTTTTCACATAACACAAAATAAACCGTTTTTTTCTCCATATGTTAAACACTAACTAACCATTAAATCATAAATAGGGCCAGACAGAATCTGCAGACGTTTTTTTGCTATTTCTGCAGAAAATTTTGGTAAAAATCTGCAGATTTTTGCACAATTATTTAGGAAGTATCACAACTAAAACCTTAATATGTCAAATAAACAATAATGTCTTTTTAACTTGTTTAAAATGCAAATCCAGTTAGATCCACTTCTAAACAAAGCAAGTCTCATATAAAATATCTACTAAAAGACAGAAAATATTACTGTACAAACTGTATTGTACATAAATTATATGAACATTTTCATATTACTCAATAATATTACTGTAATTATTTTAAAAACGGAGTAAATATAGATTTACTCAAGTAAATAAACAGAACTAATGATGGGCTAAAAATCTGCCGAAATCTGCGTAATTCTGCGTGCGCAGGTTCCGTGTGGGCCTAATCTTAACCAAAAACGTAACAGTTAGGTAGAGCGAAACATCCAGGGTGTCCGCGGGGTTGTAAAAGGTAATAAATTAAATGTGCCAAAATTAAGGGCATTAAAAAGTAATAAACGTCGTCTGACGGGGTATTATATTTTCAAGTCCAATATTTTTAGATAAATTTTCGATTTGTGTTTAGTGCAGATCTTTATTCTAAATTTTGCATGGATTTATGTATATGTTGAGAGTAGGACCTGGGCGCCCTCATGTGAGGTATTGTTCTAATGGTGCTGAAATAAACCGGGTACCCGGCTGGCTTGCTGCCAACCAGAAACACGAGCTGGCTTTCGTTCATTAATTAATTGAAAACATGGGGAAATGCACGTCTTCGGACCTCTGGCTGAAGTACTTAAGATTTAAAGCCTAGGTCTGTAGCTAATAGCCACGTCTACAAGAAGACGATTATATTGGCGCTATATAGGTTCATGTCAGCTGTCAATCACTCAAGGCTTTCCATTGTCAGATGACAGGGAGCTTTTGTGACCGCATGAAATTATGTGGTGAATGTTGATCCGCCAGCCGAGATCAATCAAGTGTTTTCGGAGAAGGTCCCCGAATCTCGATGCGTTATTCACTGCGTGTTCAGCTCAAATGTCCGCTAAATGTAAAATCTAACACTACACATCATCGCTAAACAAGCTCGCCTTTACTGAGTTTACACTGCAAATGCGGCTCATGACAAAGAACGGTAATGCTTCATTTTTGTTATTTTTCATAAAGTAACAGTCAGACTTTTTATAGCAGATAACTCCCATTCAAACACGTTCAAGGCAGCATGATAATGAGAAATTAAATTTATTAGTAGTATTATTGTCATCATCGTCATCATTAATGTTTTATAATTATTAGACATTCGTTTTGGGATTATTGCACAAATATTAAGTCATCACAGCATTAGTTAGTTAGTTGTTTCTGGTTTTTGTTAGTCCTAATTGATGTTGTTTTCAAATCGATAAATCCCTTAATGTACAATTTGCAATGGTGCTCATTCATTTTTGGTGGGTGCTCCTACTTTTTTTTTATGGTGCTCTTAAATATTTGAAGTTGCTACCAAGTAAATAAAGTTAATTTCGAGCCCAGACACAGAATTTATTGGCACAGTTCAACACGGTTGTCTAACCATGCTGAGGGTTTCAGGCCGAGAACGGTTTGTAATCGTGCCGCCCCATTCCAGGCTCAGTGGAGAAACAACAGTATCGAACTGTTCTTAGATAAGCGACTATTGACATTGATGACATAAATAACATTGATAAAAAATTATGGACAAAGGCCCATTGTGACACCTTTATTATTTCCTCTGCTTTACTTAAATGTATGTTATCTGCAATATGTTATTTATTTACGCCACTACAGTTGCAGCTTGTGCAAGTATAAAAATGTTTTTTAAGATATTAAAAAAGGTAGTAAAAGGTATTAAATTCAACTCAATTATTATTTTTTTTATAATTAATTTTTAGGGGATTTCACCTTTATTTGGATAGGACAGTGGAGATTTTTACAGACAGGAAATGTGGGGAGCAGAGATATGGGAAGGATCGGCAAAGGACCTTGAGCCGGGAATCAAACTCAGGTCGCCAAGAGCACCTTGGTGCTATGTGTCGACGTACTAACCACTAGGCTATTGGCGCCGACATTAAATTCAACTTAAGAAGTTCTGTATGTACCCTGACATCACAGCAACCAAATTATCAAACATAACTACAAACGAAGAGACGTTTTTCAAAAAAAAAATTATTATTTATTGGTAATATAAACGAAGATAGCTAGACAGGCTAAAAACAATCGAGCAAACATTTACAATGGTTTAATGGTTAATGTTATTTAGCTATAATTACTTAGCTACAGTGTACTTTTAATAACATCGTAAAATTAACATATGAAATATGTTCTGTTTGTAAATTCCGGTTTGGATGTTGGACGTTCTCATGTCACACTCAGTGCCCCAATATGTGCTGAACCGAGCTAATCAGTGGCAGAATTCATGCACAAGAACTATTGATTTACGATCTCGATAGCTAGGGAGCTGATTGAGATTAACGCTACATATTGCATCACTTCCTCATTTCTGTCCTCACAGGCCATTTCTCAGCTTTTCTCCAGCCAGTGGCTCTTTCGAGGCGAACCCTCCTTTCTGTGAGGAGCTCATGGATGCCATGGTGACACACTTTGAGGTGTGTAACTCTTCATTTGATCAGAAACCGAAAGTGAGCTCAAACATGCAAGGGATAATTTATGGTTAACAGGAACTCAGGGTGCATACATGCATGTCAACAGAAGGTTACAGAAATACATTTAAATAAGTGGAACAATAACAGTTATACAGTTGGTGTTAGAATTATTAGCCCCCTAAATAACCCCCCCCCCCCCCCCCCCAATTTTTGTTTAACAGAGAGCAGATTTTTTTTTTCAGCACATTTCAAATCATAATAGTTTATATAAATAATATATTAATAATATATATATATATATATAAATAATAGTTTATATTAATAATAGGCCCACACGGAATCAGCATGCGCAGATTTTTTAAGCCCATCATTAATTCTGTTTATTTACTTGAGTAAATGTGTAAATCTGAATTTATTCAGTTTTCATTCAGTAATTTATTACTTTTTATTTCATATATTAAGGTTTTAGTTATGATACTCCGCTGGATACTAATAATTTAGGATAAAATAATTCAGCAGAAATCCGCAGATGTTTACCAAAATCCTCAGCAGAAATAGCAAAAAACGTCCGCAGATTCCGTCTGGCCCTGGTGATTAGGCAAGTTATTGTATAACGATGGTTTGTTCTGTAGACTATCGAAAACAAATATAGCTTAAAGGGGCTAATAATATTTACCTTAAAATGGTTGTTAAAAAATTAAAAACTGCTTTTATCCTAGCTGAAAAAATGCAATATACAATACTTTATTTAGAAGAAAAAATATCATCAGACTGTGAAAATTTCCTTGCTCTGTTAAACAGCATTTGGGAAATAAAGAAATATAAAAAAAACGAGAAATAAAAAAATCAAAGGGGGGCTAATAATACTGACTTCAACTGTATATACATTAGGGATGTGCGGAGCAGCCGGTATTTGTATTTGTATTTGTTGAGAGGGGGAAAGTATTTGTATTTGTATTCGAGTAAAATTCAAAATGGCGCAAAAATATATATTTTTTCTATTACACTTTTAATTTACGTTATAGTGAAAGTATTGTTTAATTATACCCATTATATAAATTATAGATATGCAATATTGGCTGTTGTTTTTGAACATGTGATAAGAAATGTCATTGAAAAGAAAATAACATAGAAGCCATTATCTCATCCATGGTTAAACCAACAACTAATAAAACACCATTGTGAATATTATGAACCCCACCACCACCGTTCTTGTTGAAGGACACTGAATAGACAGAATAAAAACAAATAATACTTCAAAAAACTGTTCTTCTTCTGAAAGAACTTTTTTCCAATGGACAGAATTCCAAAAACTAAAATTAACTAAATAAATCTAAATAAAACCCTGCCTGGGAGATCTGGCAGAACAAAAGTATTCTATATAATACTAAAAGATACAGGCCTGATATTATCATCTGCCAGCCACAAAAAAGACACAAAGTTTGTTTGTTTGTTTATTTATTTAGAGATATCTGCAAATATTTTTCAATGGAAGTCAATGGAGGAATATGACTAGTCAGTCATAATATATTTGCAGATATTTCCAATCTGAATTATAATTATGACAAGTCAAAATATAATTAGAGATATCTCTAAATATATTTATGGATAGTCTGAACAAGGTTTAAATGCTAAAACGGCTTGCCATACGCACAGTGGCACAGTGGAGATTTCTCTAGTTATATCGTTTCAGTGGTTTGTTATGCAGTGACATGCAGTCAAATATTTCACCAAACAGTCCTTAGGGATGCGGTGACACGCAGTCAGATATTTTACCGGACAGATCCGCCACTTTTGGCGCGCATAAACAATCATAAAGCTCTCGTGCTGCAGGAATGAGGAGGTCTGCTGAAGGCGCGCAGCTGACGTGCAGTGAGGGGTTTGCGTCTTTAATAAACTACGGCAGTTTGCGATCACTGAACAGTAAGTATGATTAATAAATCCATATGAAACAGTCCCTTAAAAGTCACGTCTCGCTTTCAGTTTCGGGCTTTGGCGCGTTTTGCACTGAGCGTGTCTCTCTCTCTCTCTCTCTCTCTCTCTCTCTCTCTCTCTCTCTCTCTCTCTCTCTCTCTCTCTCTCTCTCTCTCTCTCTCTCTCTCTCTCTCTCTCTCTCTCTCTCTCTCTCTCTCTCTCTCTCTCTCTCTCTCTCTCTCTCTCTCTCTCTCTCTCTCTCTCTCTCTCTCTCTCTCTCTCTCTCTCTCACTCACTCACTCACTCACTCACTCACTCACTCACTCACTCACTCACTCACTCACGCGGGCATGCACTGTGGTCTCATGAGGAAACGCTGCTTTTTGATATAGTGTTTTTCTTGCTCGCGAATACAAATAATTTTTCAAGTATTTGTTTGAATCAAGTATTCGTAAAAACACGCTATTCGTGCCTTTCCGAATACCGTATTCGGGTTCGGCTCCACCCTTAATATACATATATGCATACATTGGGGGAAATAAGCATTGAACACGTCACCATTTTTCTCAGAAAACATATTTCTAAAGGTGCCGTTGACTTGAAATTTTCACCAGATGTTGATAACCAAAGAAATCGATATGTGCAAACAAAACAAAACTAATTAGTTTACAAATGAAGTAGTGTAATAAACTGAAATGACACAGGGAAAAAGTATTAAACACATGAAGAAAGGGAAGTGTAGTTCGGCAGTGAAAGCCCAGAAAGCAGCTGCAATCCCTCAGTAGCTCTTCAGCAACCCTCTGCCCTTCCTCAGTGTAAATGAAAATCAGCTGCTTCAGTCCAAAATCTACACTAGCAGGAGGATGAAGATGAAACCAGGGTGGACATTTCAGCAAGACAATGATCCAAAACACAGCCAAGGAGACTCTCCGATGCTTTCAGAGAAAGAAAATCAAGCTGTAGAATGGCCCAGCCAATCACCTGATTTAAATCCAATAGAAAATACAAAATAAAGCTCAGATTCGATAGAAGAGACTCACTGAACTAGCAAGATTTTGACACTGTTGAAGTCTGTAAAAACCCACACCTGAACAATTCATTCATTCTACATATGAGAGGCATCTTAAAGCTGCCATCACCAAAAAAGCCGTTTATATAAAGTATTGAATAAGTTTCAATAGTTCACTGCTTTCTCCTTTTGTCATTCCCTTGTTATTGCAAACAACTCATTACTCAGATTTTTTATTTTCTATTTTGTTTGTATTGTTTGGATTTTTACCAAAATCTGGTTCAGTTCCATGTCAACAGCTCCTGTAGAACCATTATTCCCAGAAAAAAACATGACGTGTACCCCCCCCCCCACACACTTTTTATATATGCGTTGTAATAATACATTATTATTGTTATTATATTATAATATTTTTATTATATTATCGTTGTGCTGGAGTTATTCATACTATTTTACTAGATATTTGATAATAATATACAGCTTAAAGTGACATTTAAAAGCTTAACTAGGTTAATTAGGCAAGTTAGGGTAATTCGGCAATTCATTGTATAAGAATGTTTTGTTCTGTGGCTATTTGGAAAAAAAAAATTGCTTAAGGGAGCTAATAATATTAAACTTGCTTTTATTTTAGCCGAAGTAAAACAAATAAGACTTTCTCCAAAAAGGAAAAATAATTCAGTGAAAAATTCCTTGCTCCATTAAATATCACTTAAGAAATATCTGAAAAATTCACAGTCATAAATGTTTGACTACAACTGTATATAAAACACACACGCAAATATTTTGTCAAAACAAACTTTTATTTTGGATGCGATTAACTGTAATCACTGACTTTGTTTCTCCATCAGGATCTCCTGGGCCGCTCCAGTGAGCCTCTGTCCTTCATCATCTTTGTGCCGGAGTGGCGTGACCCGCCGACTCCTGCTCTGACGCGGATGGAGGCCAGTCGCTTCCGCAGGCACCAGATGACAGTTCCCGCCTTCGAGCACGAGTACCGCAGCGGCTCTCAGCATATCTGCAAAAGGTCAGACATTTGCTGCTGTTTCCTCGTTTTTAGAGTTTTAGTTCCTTGTTTGCGGCACGAAATGGTTGGAAGCTAGCTGAAATAAAACAAACAAGACTTAATGCAGAGGAAAAAATATTGTAGGAAATACTGTGAAAAAATTCCTTGCTCTGTCATTTGGGGGGGGAAAATCATAAGAGCGTGAGTCATTCTGACTTTAACTGTACATTTGTCAAAATTGTATATTATTTTTTAATTATTTTATCATCTGTGGCTTAGTATAGTCACTGTCTTTCTGTATTCCTCTGTATACCTGTAAATAAAGCTCTTTCTGATTCTGATCTTTTTGTCCACACTAGAGAAGAGATTTACTACAAGGCCATCCACGGGACGGCTGTCATTTTCCTCCAAAACAATGCTGGCTTTGCCAAATGGGAGCCCACAACGGAGAGAATCCAGGAGCTCCTGGCAGCATACAAAGTGTCCGGGCGTTCGCTGCCCTCACCCGGTCCATCTTCCACTAATACAGGAGAAAAAGACTCCAAACCAGCCCCGGAGCGCACAGCTCCTAGTCAAGACAACAGCAGTCCTGTGGACAAGACTGCACAGGACACAACAAACACTTAGACCGCAGCGCTGGCCGTGTGGACACCTGTATGTATGTATGTTGATCAGAAGAGTCTATATGATTGTATGAGAGGTTTATTATTGCGCTGTTGGGTTTTGACGGGCATGTAAATGTTCACGCAAAAAAGACGATAGAAAGAAAGACCCATATTTGTTTACTTTCTTCCGCCTCTATTATTTAATATTATTTGTCTTAGGTTGTATTGAGTATCATAATTTTTGGGTTTTATATTCGTGTATATTGATGGTTTGGTCACCTTTTTAGTTTTGTATCCGTCATATATATATATATATATATATATATATATATATATATATATATATATATATATATATATATATATATATATATATATATATATATATATATATATATATATATATATATATATATATATATATATATATATATATATATATATATATATATATATATATATATATATATATATATATATATATATATATATATATATATATATATATATATATATATATATATATATATATAAATATATATATATTTATATATATATATATATATATATATATATATATATATATATATAAATATTTATATATATATATATATATATATATATATATATAATATAT